CCCGCCTCGGAGGCCGCGGCAGGACCCCCACCCCAGCTCTCTGCGTCCCGAGCCCCCAGCCCCTCTGCGCCCGGGGCGGTCTCCGCCTGGACCAGGTCGGCCCCACTTCTCTCTTGGCTTCCACTTCCCGGGATCCGGGCTGGACCCTTGAGCCCCTGCTCCCAGCCACCGCCCCCTGTTTCTGTTCTACCCAAACCCTCTCTATTTAAACCTGGGGGGGACAGGAGCCCCTGGCCCCCCACCCCCGCTTCTCTTCCCCGGATTCCTGCCCGGAGCGATACTTTTTTGAGACCCCCCACGCCCCTGGCTCTTGCCCTCTTCTTTGCTCTGGACCCTGAGTCTTCCCGTTCTGGGCCGCAGAGACCCTTGGGCCCTGCCCATCCACCCGGAAAGCCAAGTCCCCACTGTCTCCTGTCCGTGGACCCAGAACCATCGCCCCCCACCCGCAGCCCAGTGCTGGGACCCCTCGGCTCCCCACCCGCTCCACTCTGAGCCCCTCTGCCCTGCCGTTCCTTTCCCCACCACCCTCCCCACCAAGAGCTCCATCCTTCTCCCCCCTCCTAGCTCCCCACCCATCCTGACCACCCACAGAGCCCACCTCACTCTCCCATCTTGGGTGGGGGAGGCTTGGGGCAGCAGGCTCCCCCCACTAAAGCATGTGGCAGCAGGAGGAGGGGGATCAGGGAGGGTGCGGGTCCCAGTGGGGATCCTGTGCAGCTGGGGGTGCCTCTGCGTGTGTCACGGGTTTCTGTGATGGTTGTGGGTGTTTCTGTGTGAGTGTGTGCACGTATGTGTACCACGCATCGCATCCCTGCAAGTGGGGGGACCTGGGTTTCCTGTCTCCTCCTCCCTGATCCCATAGGTGGGTCTCACTGGAGGGCTGGAAGGGGGGCGTTCTGGGGCCTTGGGCGCACACACCCCCTTGTGCATGCTTGCACACACACACACACACACAGGGCACACAGCTGCACTGGCTGAGCATGAGTGAGCTCAAAGTCCCAGGCAGAGGCCGCAGCACAGCCTCCCCTGAGAGAAGCCCTGCCCGGCGGCCAGCCTCTGCCTCCTCTGCCTGGCCATGTGGGCTCGGCTTAGGTGTGCTCATCTGTGAAGCAGGGAAGGGGCTGGGGAGGTGCTCATGCCCACTCCAGAGGCAGCCTCACCGGATGTCCACTGTGCCGTGTCAGGACCTGCCCTAAGGATCTCTGCCCAGTCGGGAGCAGCCGTGTGGGTGCCCAGGCTGGGTCTCGGGGGCCCGGCTGGCGTGGGAGCTCAGCAGGGGAAGCGGGGAGGCAGAGTGCTGCCTCCGGCCGACTCCACGCTGGGCCTGGGAGGGCTGGGACGCCCCTGCCCTGTCACTTGTAGGGGTGCAGGGTGGTTAAGGGCATCTCTCCTTCGCTCCAGAGTGAGGACTGAGATAGATGGCCAGAGGGGGTGGCACCTCCCACGTAGGTGACTGGGCCCAGCCAGACCCCCTGGTATCTGGGAGAACACGGGAGGGGGGGGGCGGATTGCTAGTGTCACTGCCCTCCTTGGGGGTGGCTGAAATCAGCCAGTTCTGTTGGGTGGGGGTGCCCACACCCGGGAGCCCTTCTGACTTCATTGTGCTGGTGACCCAGCCCTTGGGGCCTGGGCAAAGTGCACGTTCTGACTCTCTACATGCTGACCAGCCCCAGGTGGGGCAGCTGCTGGCCCTGGAACCTCACTCTGTGGGTGGCCAGGTCACTGTGGAGGCTGACCCAGGTCTGCCCTGAGCAGCAGACCCTGGGCTCTGAGGTGCAGCCTGGGCTGAGGGCTCTCAGCCCTGGCCGACTTCACTGCCTTGCTCCTGGACACCCAGTGCCTGTCACCAGCTGACCTTGAGGCCGGTTGTCTGGAGAGGACTGCAGAGGGCCTGCCCCCATGTCCACAGCTGGTCATCCGAGCTCTTGGCCTCCTGCCCTCACCCACTCCCCTGTCCAGACAATGGGGTTGTCCTGCCCTTGGCTGGCCACACCTGGGGGACACCTCCTCCAGACCTCACCCAGCCTCCCTGGAGAGGCCCTAGGGTGTGGAAGGAGTGTGGCCCTGTGGGACCCTGCTGAGTGCCAGGCAGTGGGTGGGTGAGCCGTGGGGATGTGGCCGGGCCTACCTGCAGGGATGTGTGTGGGCGTGTGAGTGCAGGGCGTGTGGCTGCCACAGGCAGGCGGGGGCAGGCTGGAGGCGCAGAGGGAGGGGGTGGCCCTTCCAAGGCAGGGCTGGGAGCCTCCACCTGCAGGTCCTTCCCTGCCCCCGGGCCCTGCCCACGTCTCCTCCCTGGGCCAGAGCTTCTCCTGGGGGGGGCGCCTGGCCCCTACCAGCTCAGGGCCGACCCCCTCTCTCTTCTCTGCAGATTTTCCGACGTGCGGACAAAAATGGTGAGTTACCTCGCGGGCTGTCCGCTGAGTGAGGAGCAGGCTCTCTGTCCTGATGCTTCACGGGGACGGGATCAGGGGTAGGAGACGTGGACAACCTGGAACCTAAAGGCTCTCGAATCAAAGGCCGGGCCCTGGTGCTGCCCTGGGCCTGGGTTTCCCACCTGCGCAGCGGGCATCCCCGTAGCGTCTGCATACCCGGGTGCTGCGAGGGCCCCGGGCTGGGCCTGTGATTCGGAGGACCATTGATGTGCTTGTGCTTGCATAGACTGCCCAGGGCGGTGGACTGGCCTCAGAACTACCCTTTAAAGGAAGCCCTAGCCTTATTCCAAGTCCTTTCCAGCCTGGGCCCGTCCTCATAGCCGCCCAGTGCAGTGGGGGCAGCTGCCCTCTACTGTCAGCGCTTGATGACCCAGAGAGGTTAAGTGACTTGCCCCCGGGTTGCTCAGCAGCTGAAGGAAGTTGGAGCTGCGTCATGGACCCCCAGCCCTTGCCCCGTACCTCTCAGCACTTCAGCAGTGTGAGCCCCACGTTGCTGTGGCCCAGGAACTCGTGGCTCCTCCACTCCTGACTTTTGGGGAGACCCACCAGGAGGGAGGCAGGGGCCCTCAGCCTGCGCCTCACTAAGAGCACCACAGTCACCGTCGGGCTCAGAGCATCCCTGTGACCTCTCCCAGGATGCCCTGTCCCATCTGCTCCCAGGCTGTGACACCTACCCTGCCTGCTGCCCTGGGCTCTGGGAAGAGCCAGGCAGGAGCTGTGAGCAGCTGGGGTCGCCCACCCCAGGGGTCCTCCCCATGCAGCAGCCGCAGCCACGGCCTGGTCCCCAGCACCTCCTCCCTTGGGGTCACTGTCAACTGTGGGCTGGAGCGCAGGCACAGAGGACCTGGAGAGGTCTCCTGCCCAACCCCATCCCTGCGTGGGAGGCCAGCTCAGGGTGAAGGCCATTGGCAGTGACGCCAGGAGGGGAGGAGGGGGAGGACGTGGGAAGATTAAGTGGAGCCCAAGAAATGGCCGCTGCACTGGGCCTGCAGAGCCTCCGCCGGGAGCTGAAGGAGGCCGGCGTCCTGCTGCAGGGCTCTGGAGTGAGTCCCTGGGCGTGGGCCTGAGGCTGCCAGCCCGGCTCCTCCCGCAGGTGGGGATTTGGTTCTGTCCCCTGCCGCGGGGCTGCTTGCACACTCAGGGCCTCAGCTGAAGGGTGATTGCGGGGGAGGAAGCCTGCCTGCCCCGGGAGCCCGGCTGTGGGTCCACACTCCTGCCCGAGGAGTGAGAGCCTCCGACTGCTGTCCCCGGGTGCGTGGGATGTGCCCTCCGTGCCCTTCCACCCTGTGGGAGGCTGTTTCTGTCCCCTGTGCACAGCTGCAGGGACCTTCGTGTCACTCCTGCAGCCACTCCTCCTCCCGGGGTCTTGTGTGTTCCCACCACTGCCGTGTGGCCATGAGGGGTTGTCACCAGGGCAACGTGGTGTGAGATGCCAATTCCAGTGGGAGATTCCAGGCTCTGGGCCTGCAGGAGGTGAGGCTGGGCCCCTCCTCTGCCCCTCGCAGGGACAGTGCCTGGCCAGCCTCTGCAGCACCTCTGCCAGGGATTCATGTCCTGGCTTAGCCGCTGACAGCTGAGCAAGAATGTCACCAAACTCAGGGCCTCCGTTTCCCCATCTGAAAAAGGGGACCGTGACACCCACCCCGAGGGCTTACGGGCAGAGAGGAGCTCCAGGCTTGGCTCCTACGAAATTCATCGGCTGACAGGCACTGAGTCCCTTGGAGAAGGGCCACCTATGGGCGTGGCTTGACAGCAGGCGTTTGCTGGCCCCCTGGGCCCCCTGGAAGCTGACCCCCTGTGGGGTGCTGGCGGTCCCCAGACACCTGCAGTGTGTCAGGACTCCTTGGATGAACTGCTCCCCTTTCACGGGTGACAAAGCAAGGTGTGGGCAGCAGATGGTGTTCTTGAGGTGGGCAGGGTGCAGGTGGGGTTCTGACTCAATGCTGGAGGTTAAAAACAAGGCGTGGGGGCAGCCACAGCAGTAGGTGTTCGTGGCGCGGGCGCAGATGATCCAGATCACAAGCACCTAGGGAAGGACCCCGGGGTGCGTGGGGGGTGGGAGATGAGCGTGCAGTGTCCACCCGGGCTGCAGATCAGAGGGCATAGGCCTCGGAGACTACAGCGGCGAGGACCTGAGGGCTGGCCTGTCATGGGGGCACCCATGACAGAGTCCGGCTTGGCCAAGGTCCCCAGGAGACACCTGGAGTGGGGACCCTGACAGGCAGCCTGGGATATGAACCCAAAAGGTGGCACTTGAAGGCTGGCAGAGAGGTGAGGGCCAGCCACCCTGTCCCCGCAGGGCCAGGGACACCAGGCTCTTGAGGTTTGAAAGGCCACTGCCTCGGGCCAAGCTCGTGCTAATTAGTGAAGACACCTGAGAAGGCCCTGCTCAGCTTCTCTGGCGGAGATGGCAGTGCTGGCCGCGGGCTGGGCTAATTGGACCCGAAGCCTGGGGCGAGGGAGTTTTGCCTCATTAACTGATACAGGTTCCTTAGGCCCGTGGTGGTTGATGTTCAAGGTAAATGTCAGCTGAAAGCCTTTGTGGTGGGAACGGCCGGCTGCTGCCTGTCCTCCCTGGTGCAGAGAGGACCCAGGTGCTGGGACAAAGAGGAAGAGAGGGAGGCGGGTGCTGCAACCCGCTGTGCCTGGTGCCTGTCAGACCTGGCAGATAGCCGCAGCACGTCCAGGCCTGGCCTCAGCTTGTCCCCCCGCAGGACAGGACTGCTCACCGTCCCCCGCCAGAAGCAGTGGGGGCACTGTGCTGGCCCCTGCTGAGGGCTGGGTAGATGAGGGGTCTTGTCACAAGACCCGGCCTGGGTTGGCCTGAGGGTCTGGGCTCAAGCTCCAGCTGTAGGACCTGGGTTTGTCCCTGTAAAGTGGGGTGCCGGGCCTCGGGTGGAGAGCCTGCAGCAGTGGGGGCAGGGAAGGGGTGCTGGGGGAGGCTGCCCCCTGCCAGGACACCTGGACGGGTCCCAGAGCGCGAGAGCTGGCCGGAGGTCTCACAGTTGCCTTCGGGGTCTTGGTGTGTAGGGGCTTGTGTCTGAAAGGTACAGATGCTTCCTTCCTCTGCGACACCATGTCCCCCTCTCCCAGCCCGGTGCCTCACGGCCCCCAGGGAAACGCGGGGAGCCGCCGTGGGCCTGAAGGTGCCCCGAGTGTGCTGTGGGCCTGGCAGGGCACCGGGTGCAGGCAGAAGCACGGGGCCTTTAAGCTTTAAGAATGATTTCCATTCTGCACCCAAGAGGGCCTGCCATATGCGACCGGGCAGGTCGTGCCCTGCACAAGGGGACGGAGGCCTCGGGTCCAGGTGGCACTCCACTCCAATCCTGGGCCTCGTCCCTCCGCAGGGGGAGGGGCGTCTCTGATCACACGCAGGTGCCGGGACTTGCAGGGGTCTTCCCCTTAAGCAGCTGACCTTGATTGCCGACTCACTAGGGGCTGCGTGGCCTTCTGCCCATGCTCTGCGGCTTTCCCATAAGGTGGGGCAGGTGTGGGGCCAGATGCCGAGCGCTCGGCAGGTCCGCAATGGAAGGAGCAGGGCGGACACGCAGGACTGGAGTCCCCCTTAGCTGCCTCCCTCAGTGGCCCAGGCTGACCTGATCCCACCAGACCTTCCCGGTGGGGCCAGCGGTGTCTCCGACAGATAAGTGCACACAGCCAGCGGAGGGGGATGGGGGAGGCGAGTGCAGGGCGGATGCATGGGACCCTCTTCTAGGGCCTCGCCACCCGCCACCCCAGACCACAGCTGTGCAGGCTCCTGTGGTGCTGGGCTCGGCCCTGCCCGGCACCTCCTTCCCTGGTGGTCTGGCGCCTTGAAAGATGTGTTCATGGCCAGAGAGAAAAGTAGTGCTGACCATGGACAGGCTCTCTGGCCGCCCTGCGGATGGGCCCAGTGGAGGGGCTGGGTCCTTCTTCAGAGTCAGGCCCGAGGGCCGGGGTCTGCCGGTCACCGTGGAGAGACCAGGTGGAAGCAGTAGGCGTTGGTCAGCCCACAGGCTCAGCTGCACCCTGACCTGTGGCGTGTTGCTGGGATGGGCGGAGATGGGACAGAGGCCATCCTGGAGGCGGACACTCGGTTCCTTGAGTGCATGCAGATGGCTGTTTTGCAGCGAGCCCCGGAGGGTTAGCTGTTGTGGCACTTGTTGGTTGGAGGGTCGTGGCTGGGTCTGGGCATCCCGGGGTGAGTCTGGGATTCTGTGAACTGGAGTTTGCTGATTAACTGGAACCGGCTGGCCGGGCCGGGGTGATCTGAAACGGAGCTTCTCTGCTGGGCTGGGACGGGCTCCAGGGTGGGCCGTCCAGGCTGGGCCTATCTGGATGGGGGGGTGCGCTGGGCCTTGCCAGCCTCATCTGTAGAGGCCAGCTGCTCTGCCGTCTCACCACCTTACAGATGACGGGAAGCTGTCCTTGGAGGAGTTCCAGCTCTTCTTCGCCGATGGCGTCCTCAACGAGAAGGAGCTGGAGGACCTCTTCCACACCATCGACTCCGACAACACCAAGTGAGCCCCGGCCGGCCAGGGCGCACACAGCCGTGGGCAGCCGCTGTCCCTTCTTGTCCCGAAGCCAGCCTCGTTTCCCAGGCCCCTGCGAGGCAGGGCCCCCAAACCCCCAACCCTGCTCGTCCAAAAGTCCGATCCATGTGGCCTTCACTGCCCGGGCTGATGTGGGGAGGGGACAGGTCGATTCTGCATTGGCTACTGTCACAGAATCGGTCTTTTGTGAGCGTCTTGGCCAGGCAAGGACAGACCCTCAGCTCTGCCTGTACACGTGGACAGTGAGAACGGGCAGTGGCAGAGATGTCACCCATTTCTGACCCCGCCCTAAGCCAGAGCCTCGGGCTTTCTCCAGCCCCGGCCTGGACCATGGTGTCGGGCTGCTGGCCTCGACCTGGACCCCAATCCACTGCAGCTTGGCCCCCACCTCCCCCTGCAGCTAACTGAACCCCTCTCCCGCCTGCTCACCACCCTGGCTGCGCCTTGAGGAGGGCTGTCCCTGTCCTGCAGAGCCGGGACCCAGGGGCAGCAGTGCCTGGGCTGGGGCCACCCCCATCCCTGCTCTCCCCAGCCCCCGGCTGAGCCCCGCTCACTGCCCTCCATTCACTCTGTGGTCTGTGGGCCTCAAGATGAGGACAGGCGGGCAGACGGCCCTCACCGCTGCCCCCTCCCCTCTGGAGAACGGAGAGGGCGTGGCGCGTGGCCCACAGGGGAGGGCAAGGACGGGCTGCTGACTCTCTCTCCCCCTCTCCCCAGCCACGTGGACACCAAGGAGCTGTGTGGTAGGTGCCCGGATGGGATGCAGGGGGATGAAGGAGGGCGAGGCCGTGAGGGCAGAATCTGGCTTACCCCGCCTTTCCCTCCCCCACCAGATTATTTTGTGGACCACATGGGAGACTATGAGGATGTCTTGGCGTCCTTGGAGACGCTGAATCACTCTGTGCTCAAGGCCATGGGCTACACCAAGAAGGTCAGTTTTCCTGCTTGTGTGACCACAGGACTGGGCGGGGCTGGGCTGGGCTGGGCTCCTGGATAAACCGCGGAGTGAGCGGAGCAGCTTGGTGAACGCCCCTTATGCTTGTTTAGGGCATGAGGCCCCTTCCCACCTAATGGGGATGGGCAGCAGCTGGGACACCCACCCTTGGGCAGGTGCCACGCCTGACAGACCCGTGCCTCTCCTGCGGGACTGGAAGGGAGCCCCGGGTTCATGCCTCGGCAGCGACCCCAGAATCGGTGGTCTTATGGGAGAGGCAGGGAGCCCCCGCAGAGCTGGGAACTGGGCCGTGGAGGGGCTGTGTCCTGGAGAGAGGGCCTGCCCACAGTCCTGCTGCCTCGTGTCCACCTCGGAGGGTGGGGACAGGGCAGTGGAGCCAGGCGGCAGGCTGGGTGCCGCAAGCCTTCCCTGGGGCCTTCTCCCCAGCCCTGACGGTCACAGCACCCTCCACTGCCCTGGGCTTCCTTCTCCGCACCCACAGGGAAGAGCCGCGGAGCCTCCTGAGGACATGGGGAGGCTGGCGCGTGCTCAGGCCCCACCCTCTGCGTCTCCTTTGGTCTCGGGGGCCTCCGGGGTGGTCTTCACCTTCCATTTCATAGCTCTGGAAACGGGGTGCAGAAAGGGAACCCAGCGGGGTCACAGCCAAGCTTCAGGGAACGAGGAGGGGAAACTGAGTTGGGGCCTGCAAGACAGCGCACGGCAGGAGGGGAACCGGGGGGCTGTCAGCAGGGGTGGGGGCAGCCGCTTGGGCACACGAGTCCAGGCCCACCGAGAGGGAGCTGGAGAGGGCCCCGGGGGGACACCCGCAGGAGCCAGGGCTACGGCCCACCAGAGCTCAGGGAGGCCATGCTGGCGGAGGCTGGGGAGCTGAGCGGACGGCGTCCAGCAGACCTGGCTGAAGGGCCCGAGCCAGTCTCTTCCCTTCCTGAGCCTCACTTGCTCCCTCTGTGAAACGGGAGCCTCCGTCTTGCCATCCTGGGGAGGACTGTGGCAGCCGCTTAGCACAGGACCTGCACCGAGCAGGGCGACCGGCAGTTTTCATCATCAGGCCCCCGTCGTATGCCCAGCGTGGTGAGCTGCTGCCCGGTCACTGCCTGGGCACACATGCTCTCCTGGCCCACCGTGCCGCTGCTCGAGTCCTGCTGCTTTCCAGTGTATTTTAACACCGTCTTTGAGCGCCTTCTGTCCTGAAGCGCTGTGAGGGCCCAGGGATTCTGGGCCAGCTGCAGATGGCCCATGGAAGGCTGCCACACGCCCCTGGGTGCTGTGTAGCAGGGCCCCTCCGTGGCCCTCTCCTCCTCTGGGAGGGGGCCGCTCCCTGGCAGGGTGCGGTGGTGCTGCTGTTGGCCCTGGTTGGGCCCCCAGGCCCGGCTGCAGGCCCCCAGCCAGGAGGGGGTCCACCATCTCCTGTGCCGTGCAGGCCGGCCTGGCCACTGCCCCGGGAACTGGGCACCAGTGGCGGGTGGGGGCTGCTGTCTGTGGCCCGGGGTGGCTCCCAGGTCCTCGAGGTCCTCAAGGTGGTGACTGCCATTTCTTGATGCAGCCCTCGGGTGTGCTCTGTTCTCGTGTCCCCTGGCTGCAGCTGACCGCGGGCACCGGGCACCCCCTGGTCAGCAGCCCCACTCGCAGGTCCTGCTGCTGTACCCGTCACGCGGGAGTGTGGCGTTTCCTGGATTCCAAGGCGCTCCGCTGACGCCCCCCAGCTGCCTGGCTGTGCTGGATTTCCAGTGGCCGCTCTAGGATTTTTCCACTAATCATGGTATTAATGCCAGCTCTTATTTTAGAATCCGCTCCAGCCTGTTGGAGAGAGGCGTCGCCCACCTCTATTAGATGCTGTCCTAGGAGGGTGGCGAGTTCTCTCGACGCCACTGTGGAGTTTTGTGTTTTTAACCACCAGATGATCTTGCTCAGCTCTGGATGCTGGGTTCTATTTTTAGACTCGTATTGAACAGTCTGTGGCTCCCTGTGATAAAGCCTCACGGGGACTTCGTCCTGTGGCCGCTAGCCCAGTCCTCAGCACTGGCCCGTGTCACTCAATCTCCTCCAGGAGCCGAGGTGGGTGTGGCTCCAGGGGCCCCGGCAGGGGCTTCTGGGCGGCCTCTGTGCGTGAGTCGGCTCCCCAAACCCGGGTCGGTCTGTGCGCTGGGCCAAGGTGTTGCCAGAGGAGGGCGCGTTCTAGCAGGTACTTTAAGGCAAGCCCTGTTTTCCTTAGATTTTTTTTTTTAACTCTTTATGTTCATTTCAGTATATTTTTAAACAAAACTGCCCTGGATGTGTTTGGTTTTATCATCGATTACACGTGGCATGGTCTTCGGACTATTTTTTTAAAAATCTGAAACACCGTTTGACACACAACAGATTCCTTTAACAGAGTAAGAACAATCAAACATCTAATGTTACCGCTCAGATCTTATTTTAAATTGACACCATTTTCTACATCTTAAAATCTTATATACTGAGGGCTGGGGTTGTGGCTCAGCAGCAGAGCGCTCGCCTAGCAGTGCGAGGCCCTGGGTTTGATCCTCAGCGCCACATAAAATTAAGTAAAATAAAGGTATTGGGGTTTGATGACAACTAAAAAAATTTACATATATATGTAAAATTTTGTATATATGACAGGCCTGATTGAACTAGTCGTTTCTAACAAACAGCCCATTACTTTTATTTACGTTTCAAGATACGTTTTCTCATTGACGTGTCGCTGTTACAAGCTCCTTCCCCATTCCTGGGGTTTGCGGTCGTGGCTGTTTGGTCCCCCCACACACACGCCCCGTGTGAAACGGAAGGCTCAGGTGTTTTTGGTAACTCGGTTTGACCTTTGAGTGCTGTGTTGGGCCACCATGGGTTTGACGTGCCTTCTTTCGGTCTCACTGTTCTCGGAAGAGTCTGCTGTTCTCATTCACTTTTCCTTTCATTGTTGTAACGAGATCGAGTGGACCATTCTGGGACGTGCGGAGGTTCTGAAGTGAATTTGCGGACGGTGCCAAATGGAGCGCTGTCAGTTAACGCTCTGCCAGGCAGGACCCACCAGCGTGCCCGTGAGTGCTGCGTCGTTCCAAGTTCTCTGCATCTGGCGGGGTGTTAAAAGCAGCTCCAAGACGGGATCACTTCTAGGTGGTCCCAAAAAGTGGACTAGACAAGACACACGGGGATCTTTTATCCGTTTCAGAGACTTGCAGTCGCTCCCTGGTGAGGCCCTGCGCCTCCCTGACCACCGTGGGCCGACTTCTCCTCCCTGTGGGGCGTGGAGGGCTCATTCCTCCCCGAGCTGCTGTCTCGTCACCTTTGTATCCAAACGTTTTCCCTTCTTCGTCTCGGCCAGGAGGTTTGGTGCGTGCAGACTTTCGTGATATTTTTATTGTGCAGTGGTGGGTATTCAGCATGACATCGAGGCATGGTGATCGGCCGCCATGTCACACAGCTGTGACACCTGTGGCAGTTCCTGCTGCCCGCCGTGGAGATCTAACTGTGGCGCCTCCTGGCCTCACGGTGTCCCTCCTCACCTGCGTGGCACTTTCTCACTGAGGCGCTAGCTCTGCGGTGACATTGATCCAGTGCTCTGTGCAGCTCTTTAGAGCCCCTTGTGCTCTGGGGACGGTGTGCCCTGGCAGGTCACCGGGGCATGGGCCGCCTGTCCCCCGGCTGCTGCTGTGGTCTCCTGTTCTCCCGGTTCTTTAACCCTTCCTCATCCCTCCTACGTTCTTCCTCTTGATGGTCTGCTGCTTGTTGGTCAGGACTGAGAAGTTAAAAATCTTCATTGTCGTTTTACTAGTGACGTTCTTAAAGCCCTGGTCACCCTTAGTCGCATTTTTATACTAATACAAAATGCTTTCGGTTCCTTTTGGGAATGAAGGAATCTCTGGGATTCGGGCTGTTTTTTAATGGTCCACTGACTTGATGCAGGGTCACTGGAGTCCGACTGTCCGGTTCACTTAGGGACCCGTAACCTGACGGCTTGGGCTGCGTGGTCGCAGGTCCTGTGGGCACCGCTTCCCTGGGCCGAGCTCCGAGCCTCAGGGGCGTATGAGCATGCTGTTCTGGGAAGATGCTCATCCGGTGAAAGTCGGATTCACCGGTTGCTGGATCTCTCCCGTCTTCCTGCATGTGAGTGGCCGTCGGTGGGTGTGGGATTCGGGGCTCTCCTTCTCCCCCTGCCGTCTGCAGAGCTGGTCTCTGGGCTGAGGCCGCGATTGTGACGGAGGACGACTCTGGAAAGCTTCCTCTGCGCCAGGCCATTATTGACCCATCCCCGTCCCCGGGGTGGGTGCCTTTAGCCCACATCCTCGGCTGGTTTCCGGCTGTGCCACTCTCCAGCGGCCTCCTCTGATGAGTTCCATTTTTTTTTCTACCAAGTTAAGTCGTCTTGTTCATTTGTCCAGAGTCCAGCGGTCACTGGGCTGTGTGTGGCCTCAGCTGTCCACTAGGAAGGATAATCCATCACTGTGGTGCGCCCAGCCGCCAGGGGTCAGTCCCCCCGCAGCCCTGGCCGGGTGTTGACCCAGGACGTTCCCGTCAGAGCCTTACCTGCCTCCCTCCTCGGCCTCTGTCTCTCCGCCATGTCTCCTCTGTTCGGCTATTGCTAATTAATTCCCAGTCAGGGTGATGGATGGTTTAATTTGCTTTCCTTGGGAGCCCTGTTTTCCCTTGCCAGGGATTGGGCAGGATTCCAAAGTGCTGGAGCGGGTGGCCCGGACCTCGGGGGAGGCTGGGGAACACAGGGTTTGAGCAGCAGCAGTGTCCTCTTCTCGCTCTCGAGTGGCCCCGGTGAGCCGGGTCTCCATCTCCTGGGCAGCCTTTTGCAGCCCAAAGAATCTCAGTGATGAGAAGAGTCGGCGCTGGAGTCTCAGGACAGCAGGGGACGGTGCTTCACCTGGCCTGGTCCTCAGCCTCCTGAGCTGCTCCCCCACTCCTCCTGAGCACTGAGCCTTGCTCTTTCTTTGGGGAGCCACTGTAACCCTCTGGCTGTATTTGAGTTTCTTCTGTCATTTCTCTTTAGCAACATGATACTCAAGAGCCCGGAGAATTCTCCTTGGAGGAGGAAAGGCGGAGCCAAATCATGACAAGTTTTTCCCTGATGCTCTGTGACGGCAACATAAACACCACTGCTGATCAGTGTCGTGCCACTGGCCCTGAGCACCAGCAATAATATCATGATCATTTCCTCCTCCATCACCACCACCATCATCACCACCACCACCATCATCACCATGATCATCATCATCACCATGACTATCATCACCATGATCATCATCATCACCATTATATTCACCATCATCATCACCACCACCACCACCATCACCATGATCATCACCATCATCATCATCATCACCACCACCATCACTGTCATCGCCATCACCATGACCATCATCGCCATCACCATCATCACATCACCATGACCATCATCACCACCACCACCACCATCATCACCATGATCATCATCATCACCATTATATTCACCATCATCATCACCACCACCACCACCACCATCACCATCATCATCACCACCACCACCACCATCATCACCACCACCATCATCACCACCACCATCACCACCATGACCATCATCACCATGGTCATCATCACCATGATCATCATCATCACCATGATCATCATCATCATCACCATTATATTCACCATCATCACTACCACCACCACCATCATTGTCATCACCATCATCACATCGCCATCACCATCATCATATCGCCATGACCACCATCACCATGACCATCATCACTACCATCATCATGACCACCATCATCACCACCATCACCATGACCACCATCATCACCACCATCACTGTCATTATCACCATCACCACCAACATTATCACCGTGATCATTATCATCGCCATCACCATCATCACATCACTATGACTATCATTATCACTACCATTATGACCACCACCATCACCATGACCACCATGACCACTATCACTATCATCACCATGACCATCATTATCACCACCACTACCACCATCACTGTCGTCATCACCATCACCACCAACATCATCATCACCGTGATCATTATCATCACCATCACCACCATCGCCATGACCACGACCAACATCATCACCATCACCTTTATCATACCAGCTGGTTATTATTTGCTGTGACAGGTACTGGACTGAGCATTTTATGTAGATGTGGTCATTGAATCCCCATTACAACTTTGTAAGATAGAGTACAGTGGCCCTGTTGGGCTCCAGTAGGCCTCAGGCTGGTAAGTGGTAAAACCTGGGTTCAGACCTTGATGTCCGAGTTCATGCCCTGTCTTGGTTACTCTACAGCCTCCAAGATGCAGAAGCAGTAGAGTATCCCCTTCCCCCTGCAAAGCAAGGACACTGACCCCAGGTGCCTCGCGTCTCCACGTTCTGTCCCCACCCCTTCTCCTCCATGTCCCTTCCCTTCCCTCCACAGGTGTATGAGGGCGGGAGCAACGTGGACCAGTTTGTGACCCGCTTCCTCCTGAAGGAGACGGCCAATCAGATCCAGTCTCTGCTGAGTTCTGTGGAGAGTGCGGTGGAGGCCATCGAAGAGCAGACCAGCCAGATCCGGTGCGTGGACGGGACCCTGCAGGGTCACTTGGGGTGTGCCGTGTGCACAGGCCAGCTGCTGCTCTGGGCCTCCGTGTCTCAGGCTGCAGCACAGGAGGATTGCATACCTAGCTGCTTCTCTGTCACCGTGAGGGGTGGGTGAGGTGGGCTGTGCCAGATGCACACCTGGTGTGCACATGCAGGGCCTGCACAGGACAGTTAAGGTGCCACTAGAGACCCATAGGCTCTCTGCACCCGCCTGACACTCACCGTTGGTGCAGAGTGACCCTGTTGTCTGGCCCACTCTTATGGTTAAGAACGCCCCATGCCCTGGATGAAGTAGCGAGATCAGCCATGCTCTTGCTGGACTCCGGCCTCCTCGCCCACAGAGAGACTGGGCCATCTGCGGGAGGCACTGAAGAGGGGGAAGAAGCAAACTGAGGCTCTCCCGGGAGGACCGAAAGAGAAGTGAAAGTGGGTGGTCTTGTCCCAGTGTCACTCAGTGTTCAGTAAGGACTTGTCCCTGCCCGGAGTCCCCTTGTTCCTGCCCGGAGTCCCCTCGTGGTGCCAGGTGGAGACTGTGTGCCTGGTTCCTGGAGAGGGGCACCTTTCTCCTTCCCTTCAGCAGTCCCAGTCCCAGGTTGAGGCAGACTCTCCTGCCCAGTTCTGCCCAGGGCAGCTGATGTGCCAGTGCAGAGGGGAAAGAAAATTCACAGATGGCAGCAGCCGCTGGGTGGAGCCCGCTCTAGAGCTTGGAGTTTGTACAGCCTCAGGCACAGTGCAGCCGGGGAGAGGGCTTGCCCTGGGCTGGGAGTTCGGGGTGTTTCCCGGCTGGCACGGAGCTGCCTCAGTCAGATGTGATCGCAAAGGTGCTGACTGTGCCAGCACCTGGGAAACCTAGGGTGCAGAGCCCGGGCACGGGCGCTGGTGGGAATGCCGCGCGGAGGCAGAGCTCCATGTCTGTAGCCAGTCTTGATCCGAGAGCCACTCTGGAAGCTGACGCCTGGCTCTTCTGTGCTGTGTGTTGTTTTCCTGTCCTGATCGGGACCTGCCCTTTTCATCCGCAGTGGCACACGGGTCCTCCTGTGGTTCTCACAGATGGTCGCCTGCACCGGGCCTGCTTCCTCATGTGGGTGGCTACACGGGCCTGCCCCCCACCCCCCCGCCCTCCGCCCTGGGTCCCTGGGTCCCTGGGTGCAGCCTGTTTCCCCACCAAGCAGCCCCTCAGGATGTTGTGTTCCAGGCACAAGCCTCGGGTTCAAACCCCGCAGCCGGGGCCTCCCACTCAGCCCTTCATGGTCTAAGGGACACATTTAATTTGCTGCTGCTTTGTAGAGCTGCCGTGATTGACACCCCAGAGCCTTTCCCACTCCCTGGGGAGCCAGGTTTGCTCCATCCACACAGGAGAGCCGTGCTGAGCGGTCAGGGTTCACAGGAGACGGATTCCAGAGTGAACCAAGGCAGCGATGCTCGGTGACAGGGTGTCGCTGTGGCAGGCGCTGGCGGGTGTGCGCGCTCCATCCCTGGCCTCTGTTTCCCAGCAGCCTTGTGCATGAGGATTTGTTTGTTTACCAAGCGTTTTTCAAAGTCCCTGCCATGCACAGTGCCTGTGAGCCGTGTGCAGGCAGCCAGCTGGGCCCCAGGTCAGTGTGCATGGGGGAGGGGTGCAGGGGCAGGAGAGGCTAGGATCCCAGTTCTGTCCTGCCGTGTCCCCACTCTCAATGTCTTTTAGGATGCCCGTTTTGGGGGTCTTGTAGTGCAAGCCCAGATCCCCCACACCAGGAGGCACGTAACCCTGACTGGCAGTGGGGCAGGGAGGGGACTTGGTATCCATACAGCCTGGGCCCAGCAGGTGCCTGGGGACGCAGTGAGCTGCTGGGCAGGAGGTGGGCATCTGCCCTACCCTTGCCCAGCCAGGTTCTGGCCCTGGCTTGACCCCAGCTAGCCTTGGCCAAGTCACCTGCTTTGTGGGCATTGTTTCCGCCTCTTTCAAAACGAAGACCAAGTCGCCCATTCCAGGGGACAGGAGTCCGCAGGGTGCACTCTGGGCACACTGCAGCCACAGTTGGTGCTTAATAAGTGCCTGTTGAAGCTGCTGAATGTGTCCAGGGTCCTGCAGCTGTCGTCATTGTCTGTTTCCCCACTTACACTGCAGACAGAACCACAGCAAGCCCGACCACGGTGGCATGGGCACCTGGTATGGAAGCCCCTCTCCTCCCCACGCCCCCAACCACAAGCTCATGGCTGTGGAGCCAGGGAAGAGCCTGCCACCTGGTGAGAGAGCTGTGGCCCTGGTGGGGAAGGGGCCTGCCTGGGAGCCTCAGGACACTGAGTGCCCAGGTGGGGCCTGGGGAGGGCTGGGTGCTCCTACCCCAGGCCTGGCCCTGCTTACCACCATGTGCTTCTCTTAGTCACTGGGGACCCAAAGGAGGAGGGTCTGGAAGCCCAGATCAGCCGGCTGGCGGAACTGATTGGGAGGCTGGAGAACAAGGTAAGCCCAGCCCGCCTCTGCCTGACACCCCTTTCTCCCCAGCGGCCGGCCGCCACATGCACACACACACAGCAGAGTTGGCTTGGAGATCAGGACAGGAGTCGGGGAGCCGTGGGACGGGTCCCCCCGAGGTGAGGCATGGGGGTGGAGAGCAGACAAAGGATGGGCCTTGAGGACTGGGCAGGCACCCCAGGAGCAGAGTGGCCAGTGGGGTCCTGTGCTGCCAGGGGACATCACGACAAAGAGGGCTTTGCTCTGAGGTAGCAGTGGCCTGAGCAGGTGGAGCCAGGCAGTGGCATCATGGTGCGTGAGATCCAGGACAGTCAGCCAGCCCCAAGGGACTGGCCACCATAGGAGATGGACTGAGCACAGCGTGGCACACCCACAGGTGGGGGAATGGCACAAGGACACAGCCTTTACAGGGTGGCTTGTGATCAGTGGAGTCCACCACGTGCCTTGGGGCTCAGGTGGCTCGGGGATCATCTGTGGTGTTGAATTCTGGCCGTGCCACTCACCAGGTGCTGTTAGGATTAGGAAAATGATGTCCCGATGGCTGACCTCAGAGCCAGGTTCCCAGTTAGCACTTACAGTTAGCAGTGTCAGCAATTATTGTCACCAAAAGCTCCAGGTACACATCCACCTACGGACCTCCGCTAAGGGTGTGTCACGCTCTAGGATTGAGGTGACATCGCTTCTACTTTTCTGTATTTTTTCACGTCTTTTGCAAAGGACACTAGTACTTCGGTGGGCTTGGGGTTGGGGAGGGGCAGAGTCGAGTGGCTTCCCACCCGAGGGAGGCAGAGCTGGAGGGAGGAGGCTGACATCCCGTCGCAGGGCTGAGGCCGAAGCGGGATCCCGCCCCCTCACAGCCAGCTGCCGGGGTGGGAGCGGCTGGGGGACCCTGGGCCCGTTGTCATAACAACTCTGCGGGGGCTCGGGAGGGAGGCTCTTTGAAGCTTATTTTTAGCGCTCGGTCGCTCTAACAACGCGGCTGGCTGGTAACCAGGGAGCACCTGGGCGGCCTGGGGGAGGGGCGGGGCCGCCTCCCCTCCCCTTCTCTGGTTGGCCCAGGCCGTGAGCAGGGGCCACTCTGGGCCAGGCTCTAGGCCCGTCCCCGCAGGCCCACCTGAGCCGGCTCAGGGGCCGCAGACTTGGAAGCCAGAGGGAGCCGCTTGGGGCCCCTGCCCTCCAGGTGCCCACAAGCATGGTTATAAACCCAGAAGCGGGCTTGTCCCTGCTGGGCACTCCCTGGCCACTTGGAAAGCGCTTTCTCTGAAAGCGTGACCTGGAGAAGTCGGGGCTCTCCGCTGGCTGTGTGATTTGTGATTTGTGCAAGGCCCCGTGGTGGAAACACTAAGGATTGTAAAGTGGGTCACGCCGCCTGCTCCCCCGCCAGTGGTTTCCCTTAACAACAGATGCGCTTCCTCCATGCCCTTGCGTGTGTGCACGCATGTGTGCACACGGGCTCCTGTGACAGTGGCAGTCTGTTTTCACGGAGGAAGGACAGGGATAGCCAGGAGCAGCCCTGACTGGGTGCCCAGGCTAAAGGAGGATGAACTGTGGCTCTCATCTCAGGTGGAGAAAGACCAAGACGCGGAGAACCTGCTCTTGTGACTTCAGGGCCCAGGGCTGAGCATCTGGGAGTGGGCCCTGTGGGTCCAGGCAGAGGAGACTGACGGGCTCCCTCTCCAGCCTTCCTGGAGCCTGCCTGGCGGCCCTCCTGGGGAGTCGGGGATCCCTTGGCTTAGGGCTGGTGGAGGGCCGCCCCTGCAGACCATTACTCTTGAGGCTCCAGAGGTTAAGACGGGGTGACTCCAAGGACAGCAGCGGTGGCAGGGAACACGGCGTCCTGGACCACTGCTGCCTCTCCTGAGGCCTCCCAACAAGGCCAGTGCTCCTGGCCTGCCCTCCCAGTGCCCCCAGGGGACGGAAGGATTCTCTGCCACTTCCTATGGTGGGTCTCCAGCCCTGCTCCAGGGCCCTCTGTGGTAGCTTTGTGCATGGACCACAACCAGCCCTGCCCAGCAAGGCCTGGCCCAGGAGTGCCCATCAGACTCAGGGATGTGGGCAGTGGGGCGGGGCCCTGTGTGCCCCCGGTGTCGTCATGGTCCTGGAGGCCGCTTGGTCGAGGTGGCCTCTTGGGCCTCACGTGTGCTTCGTGGTTTCAGACACTCTGGTTTGACCTGCAGCAGCGCCTGTCAGATGAAGAAGGCTCCAACATGGTGAGGCCCTTCCCTGAGCCCCTCCCCCCCCCTGCCCAAGCCAGGACCCCCAAGATTCATCACCCCTCCTGCCTGGGACCAAGATGGGCAGGAGCAGTCCCAGCAGTGGGCTGCAGGACCCTACGGGCACCCTCCCTGGAGTGAGCTCAGGTCAAGACTTTGATGAAGGGGTGTGGCCGGGAGCCAGATGGTCCGAAGACTCCTGGCTGCTTCCTGCTGAGTCTGGGGACCCATGCCCCAGGCAGCCTCCTTACAGCCTGGCCCTGGGGAAGCTCTATGCATTGGGACTTGGCTGCTCCAGCCAGTTTTCATAGATTTGAACAAAAACTGTAGGGGTGGGCCGGGCAGAGAGGTCCTGGCAGGGAACCCAGGGGAGGAGGCAAGGCCCAGGCTCAGTGCTCTGTCCTGGCAGCACCTGCAGCTTGTCCGGCAGGAGATGGCCGTGTGCCCCGAGCAGCTGAGCGAGTTCCTGGACTCCCTGCGACAGTACCTGCGGGGCACCGCTGGAGTAGGGAGCTGCTTCCAGTGAGTGAGCCTGGGGCGGAGGCAGGGAGTCCTGCCAGGCGGTGGAGGGAGGGGATGGGCAATCCCTGCAGCTGTAGCAGATAACTTCTACTCCCTCAGCTGTAAAGGGAGCTGATGGCAGTGTCACTAGAGGGTGACCTCAACGCAGGACGATAGGGTCCTTGTATGTTGTAAAAAAAACTCCAGTGTCCAACAAAACAGATTTATTCAAGAAAGTAAGGCACACGCTCTCAAAGGACAGGCACCGAGAGTGAGATGGGCCCTCCCATCTCAGAGGAAGCTAGGTGGGAGGTAAGCGGGATGACAGTCTGGGATCTTGCTCTCCAGTATCTGGTCACAGGTAAAGAGCTCCTATCTCCTGTGCTTTATCTGTGCTGAGGGTAGACTGCACAGGGCAGTTCTGATAAGCGACTTTCCAGTAACTAAGATTGTGACGATTTGGAGGTTTCCCAGAAAGTTGGGGGGGAGGGAGAGGACCAGCTGGGGAAGGAAGGTGTGAGGCTGGTCTCCCTTTCCTTCCTGACCTTGTCTTAGCTTTGCCCCAGCAGACCCTTGCCCTGGCCCTCTGGGAGTGAACGGGGCCAGAGGGGCAGGAAGGGCTGAGCCAGGCCAGTGCCCCTCAGCTGTGGTGCTGGTTCAGCAGCACAGGCCAGAGAGGGGCGGAGGGTGTGCACTGACCTTCCCACCTGGCCAGAGGCATCGTCCCCCCAAACCACAAGTGTGTGCCCCACATATGCCACGCTCACCCCGTGATGGTGGCACTCAGTAACACTCAGCAGAGCCTGGCCCCTGGAGATGACCTGCCAGTGGCTGGGAGAGGGCCCAGGGCCAGGGCTGGTCCCGGGCAGCACCCCGCTCTCCACCTGACACTGGAGCAGAAGGGACTAAGGACAGATGAGCAGCCTGTCGGGTGAAGCCAGCCTGGCACTGCCTGTGAGCCCCTGCAGCTGCTCACCTTTCAGCAGTCCCCTCCACTGCTGCCAAGTGGGTGAAAGAGGAGAAGCGGCTGGGGAGGGCAAGGGGACAAGGACAGTACCAGATGCTGTGACCTTGAGGAGCCATCCAGCCCCATCACCCTGGTCTTCTGGAGGCCCCACAGCAGAGTGATGGCCAGGTCCCCAGGGGGGCCGCCTGGCCTGCAGGGTGTGGAGCCCCGGGTGGGCTCCGGGACCGTCACTGAGACGGAGCTTGTGGGAGCAGCAGAGGGTGCGGGGTGGGCTTGAGCGAATGAATGCCAAGGCCTGCAGCCTCCCCCTAGACTCCGCCAGCCATGGCGTGGCTGGGTAGTGGGGTCAGGGCCGGTCCCTGCCCGCCGCAGGCTCCCTCCCTCCCTCTCCCCGACAGCATTGCCGCTGTGAGGTTGTTGGACGGCTTCACCTTCGTCATCTATGAGTTCTGGGAGACAGAGGAGGCGTGGAAGAGGTGGGTACAGCCGCGTCCCTGGGTGCTGGGGCTGGTGAGGGGGGCTGGCTGGTTCCGTGGCGGAGGGACTTTGGCGAGGCATGGAGAGCACTGCCCCGGTTCTCCCAGCACGAGCTCCGGCCCAGCCTGAGGTGGTGGCTGCTCAGGTGTAGGGAGCCTCCCACACTTGGCAGGCTCCTGAGCACCCCTTCCAGGCAGACCAGCTCTGCCGCGCCCCTGGAGCGCCCCTGTGGGCGGGTTCGGAGTCCCTTGTGCCCCGGATCCCCTGATCCAGCACCCCCCCCTGGGAAGCCCTCTTGAGGACTGAGCTTCTCCCATTGGACAGCTCCTAGCGTCAGAGCCCAACGCGGAGCAGGTAGCAGTGCAGGTGCGGTCAGCTGCTCCCTCCCTGCACCTGGCCACCCACCCAGTGGTGGCAGGTTGGGGGTTCCATCTGTGGCTGTCACCTGCTCAGAGCATGTCTGGGGCACCTTGCTGTCCTCCCTGGGTGGCAATGGGAAATCCAACACCGTCCTGAGGTTTCTGACTCACCAGATGCTACCGTGTCCCTCCAGACTCAGACCAGCAGGAAGGACAGGAGTGGGTGGCTTTGCACCCCTGTCCTTCCTCCCTGGCACTGAGGGACGATTAGACTGAAGACCTAGGGATGCTGCAGTAGCAGAGTGACCACAGAGGAGGACAATGGGCTCCTCTGGGGCCTGAGTCCTGGTCAGCCTCACTGGTGTTGTCTGTACAGGTGGATATCAGTCCTACCTGACCCCTGGGGTGACCTTGAAGGTGGAAGGTCCTTGTTTCCAGGCAGGCCCCACCAGGCCTGGGGGCATGGGCCTTGCTCTAGCTGGCACCCGGCCTCCTGCTCTGCCCAGGAGCCTCAGCGCTCCTATCCCAGACAGAGCTGAGCTCAGGGGTGGTCCACGCGGTCCTGACTAACCTGCTTCCTGGGCGCAGGCACCTGCAGAGCCCCGTGTGCAAGGCATTCCGGCACGTCAAGGTGGACACACTGCGCCAGCCCGAGGCCCTCTCCCGGATCTCAGTGCCAGGTAGAGGGATAAGGGCCAGCACTGGGGAGGGCTGCCCAGCTCCCGAGTTCCAGCAGAGCAGGCCCAAGGGCAGTGCCAGCTGAGGAGGCCCCAGTCCTGCAGTGACTCTCTGCCACCTCCCTACCGGGAGCAGAGCCCAAGGCCCAGGCCCACACCCCACCTGCCACAGAACAGGGGGCCAGGCCAGGACGCAGAGTGGGTGGAGCTGGCCCTCTGCAGCCCTGGGCCAGCGCGAGAGGGGCACGTGCCCGAGGGGCCTGGTGGAGAAGCAGATGTGGCCCCAGGTGGGAGGTGCTCGGCCTGCCCCCTCTTCCCCTGCCAGCCGCCCCCTCCTCAGCACACAAGGGAAGGGGCTGTGTGCTCACCACCCCACTGACTCTCTCCTCCCGCCTCTAGCCGCTTGGTGCACCGTGGGCAGAGACTGACCGCCGCCGAGGCAGCACCCTCTTGACAAGGACGCCCCTTTTCTAGAAACTTTGGTACAGTCTTTTCAATCTACTTCTAAACAAGAATGTATTTCCTCTGCGGTTTGAAGTGAAAGAGGACCCCTGCCCCCACCCGAGCCGGCAGGGCACTGTGCTCTGGGGTCCCCCTGAGGCTCCTGGGCTGGCCTCGCAAGGCCACAGCCGCCTCTCCTCACCGCCTCCTGACGTCCCCTCCCTGGTAGGAGCCGTAGCCCTGTAGTGCCCAACCTAGGCCTGGGTCAAGCCCAGAAGTGGCAGTAGTGCCCATGTAACAGTGCCACACTAGGTACCAAATAAACCCTAGCTGGGAACAGCTGTGTCTTGTGCTTCTGTGTCCCCTTTCCCGAGTGACAGCTGGCCGCCAGGATGGCCCCGGGTTTGCCACAGACCTTGTCCCAGACGCCTGGCCTCCAGGTCCTGTTTGCAGTGTGGAGGTGGTGACCGCTCTGGGGAGGCATGTGACACATATGCTCCTGCCTGTGAGCCCTTCTGGGTCCCAGGACCACCCTCAGCTCCAGGAGCTCAGCCAAGGGACTCAGTGAAGCTGCTGGGGTCATTTGTGGTTTAGGGCAGTACAGGGACCCTCGGAGTCAGCAGAGCCCGCCCAGGGACCCCACCTTGAGTCCTTAGCATGGACACAGGTGGCCCAGGTAAACAGACTGCAGGACACCCCGGGGGTGTAGAGCTGGCCTTCTGGGGGGCAAGGCCAGGGCTGCCCAGAGCTTGGGGTGCGGCTGCTGTCTGGCAAGGCAGCCCCGTGCTGGCCTTGAGGTCCTGGTTAGAGGACAGTCTCACAGAAGGCTCAAGGACAAGGAAGAGGTGAGGCCAGCAGGGCTCCTGCAGGGCAGGGAGGCTGGGGAGCGGGGGGCAGCAGGCCATGGCCCAGGAAGCAGACCCACGCACGCGCCTCTTCCCACGCCTGCCCAGCCCTCCCCTTGGCACCCCACACAACCAGAACAGCAGGCATTCGGGACAGTGGGGTGGGCTTGAGGCCTGCTGTCCCTGAGGTGCACCCTGGCGCCAGCCCCCCGCCTGTGCCCTCCTCCTGCAGGGCAGGGACCTGCAGCGGCACCCAGAGGGGGCCAAGTCTCCCCAGGCATAACAGAGGCGCCCTGCACCCACCTCCTGGGCTGCCGGCAGCCCCCTCACAGGCAGGGTGGGTGGGATCAGGCTCTGAAGAGAACACATTTCAACCCTAAAAGGCATAAGAGCTCCACTTGATTGACACTTCAGAGCCACTCACAGAATCAAGCACTTGGCACCATCTCCCTCATGCTCACAGCACCATCCTGGGCAGGGAAATGAAGACAGAGAGGACGAGTAATTTGCCAGAGGTCACACAGCAAATTAATAGCTCAGGTGGATTCTAACCGAGAGCCACCTACCCACAACCCTGCGTCCAACTACCCTGCACTCCATGGTGCGGGGCAGACCCTTAATGTCCGACTCAGTTTCCTCAAAAAAAGTTAAAGGCAGAGTTACCCTATGACCCAGCCATTCTATTTCTGGATACACACTATACCCACAAGAATTTTTAAAAGGCATTCAAACACGTATCTGCACCAGTATTCACAGCGGCACTGGCCACAGCAGCCAAAAGGGGAGACAACTCAAATACCGACGGACCAGAAGCAGGTACAGAACACGCCGCAGCCATCAGGCCCTGTGCAGCCCCAGGCTGCGCAGCCAGAGTCGCCAGCCACGGGCAGGGTGCTCTGGGGTGGGTGCAAGGTGATCCAGCCGGATGGATGGACACGTCCCCACCTTCCCTGTCGTTATTCCCGGAACACCACGCTAACCGCTGCCTACCACCCACGACGTCTCGGGGCTGCATCGTCCAGAGGCCATCTGCAGCGTGCCCGGGGGAGGCCAGGGGCAGCTCCGTGCTGGAGCACCTGCCTAGCAGGTGCAGGGCCCTGGGCTCCCTCCGCAGCACATATGAAATACCCAGAGGACGCGCCTCGTCACAGACGCGCACACCACTCTGGGCAGACCACTCGGTGCCAGAGCGTCTGGTGTCTGGGGCCCTGGAACCCTGGCCAAGTCGCCAGGTGGTACAGAGGGAGGACTGCACTGGGTCATAAGGGAGCACGGCACTGACGAGGTCACGGCGAGGATGCGCTGCAGAACCACAAGGGATGCCACCCGCATCTCCTTCCCACCAGCGCCAGGACCCACAAACCCCGCCCAGTGCCAGAACTGCAAGCCCCGGGCGACTGTGGTCGTGGGCTGGGGAGGGGTGGCACCGGGCACAAGCGAAGCCCGGGATCGTCACCACGAAGCTGTCAATCATGTTACAGGAATGTCACAGTCCCCACTGACTCACCTGCACAGAGCTCCCGACGCACCCTCGAGGGCCCTGCTCCACTGTCCGTGGGAGGCCTCAGAGGTGGCCTGTGGCACAGGGCCTTTGTGTGACCCTGGGCTCGTGGACAGGTTTCCCCAGGTGCTCAGCCACCATGCTCAGAGCAGGGTGGGGCCCTTGGTATACATGAGTCACGTGGTCTCTTGGAAGAGGTGGCTTTAGGCACCTGCATCTCTACACCCAAGCAGTTGTCACCATTGACCGGGAGCTGGGACAGGCCAGGCTCTGCTGGGGCTTGCAGGGGACCCTCTGCTCCTCCTCACCGTGGTCCTGAGGGGAGGGCTGTGGAGGCCTGTGTTGGAGGACGAGAGGATGGAAACGCGGGGCCAGAAGGACACGGAGGCGGGGAGCACCCTGATGGCGGGTCCCTGTGGCGGTGGCCTGAGGCAGGCACTGCTCAGAGAGGGCACAAGCTGGGCCAAAACCACACAGCCAGCCGGTGACCCAGGACAGCCTGGATCCTGCAGGCTCAGCCCCACCCACGCCCTCCTCGGCCCTCTGCCTCCCTGTCCCGCACAGACCTCAAGGCACCATTGGCATTTGAGCAGGACAGTCCAAAAGGCCGTCGGCACCTTCCTCCCCAGGTCAGACAGCCAGGGGACCTCCCCCTGCTGGCAGGCCGCTGTCCCTGTGCTGGGATGCCAACGTGTGGCTCACATCTGAGCCTGCCACAGAACCGGCTGGAAACCTTGGTCCTGGTGGCAATGCGGTCACCCCTAAAGCCCTTGCCCTCTCCTCCTCTTGCCTTTAATGCCCGTCCACTCCCTCCTGTGTCGCTCTGCTGGGGGAGCCCTCGAATCCTCCCATTTCCCTTTTCCCATAACTGCTAGGAAACTCAGTGTCCTCTGCCAACCTTGGTGGTTTCTGGAAACGCAGCTGCCTTTCTTGGTGAGAGACACCCTAGCGGCTGTAGGTGCGGCACCCCCTCGAGCTCCACAGTGAAAACAGAGGAACAGTAGCCGGCTCCACTGGGCCAGGATGAAAGCTCCTACGTTCCCAGCAGCTCTGAGAGAGCACGTGGCGGAGCCAGGTTCCCAACCAAGCTCAGGTTCAAAGCCCGTCACGTGGCCTCCCTTCATGGCAGGACCCTTACTGTGCCCGCTGTTACTCCTGGATTCTCTGAACAGCCTCAACCTGGCCCATGCAGCAGAGCCCTGGAGGTAGCAGGTGTCAACAAAGGCCACATCCTCCGCTCACCTGCTAGAGCACTCTGCCTGGTGTGCGTCCTGGCTCCTGAGCCTTCACCTGGGAGGACCCTGTGGCCGCTGGACACAGGGTGGGCAGGTCACAATGGCTTGGTTCAAGGGGACTGGGAGAGAGGTCCTGCGTCCCCTCACAGGGTCCAGAGCCTTTGCCTGCAGCCACGCCCCTCCCCCAGGGCTGTGGAGGAGGCTGGCAGGGGCTCCACCCCATCTGCAGGCCAAGCACACGTCCCCTCCTGGGTCACTCCTCTTCTTGGAGCACGTGGTAGAGGAAGCAGACAGTGGAGCTCAAGCCAAGGTGGGTTGTGACTCAGCGCTGCGGCCTGCAGGACAGGCAGCCCTGGCCTTCCCACGCCTCGGCTGACACCTGTGCAGTGGGCCCTGTGCTCCCTCAAGGGGGCCCCCCACAGGACTGCGTTCCGCCTGGTCGACCAGGAGTGTCCAGTCAAGACGACCTGGAGACCGAGGGGTCAGGGCTGCTGATGGCATGGGGCCCTCCCGGGTGAGGACAGCTGCTGCAGGAAGGTGGCGGGTGGTGGCGTGACTGAACATGCCAAGTGCCTGGACCGTGCCCCTCAGGGGGGGGTGTGTCTCACAGAGTGTGAGTTACAGCGTGGCGTTTAGACTGAGTGCACGTGGACAGGCTAGCACACACACAGTCCTGTCACCATCGACCTCACTGGGTCACAGACGCCGTGTGTGACATACATGGGAAGGGCACGGGCCACTGCCTGGTCGCGTCCTGCCCAGGGGAAAGCGCCCTTCTGAAGGACCCTCTGCCCTGACACTCTCCGCAGCAGGCCGACTCCTGCCAGGGCCGGGTCGGGGACAGGGGCCAGGGTGGGGCCAGGAGGGAGCTACAGGGCGATGGGCCCACTCGGCTCCTGGACTCTCCAGGCAGAGCGAATGGAAGGGAGGGCGTCTCCTGGGACCCATGCTGGGCCGCACCTGTGCACCTTCTGGTCCAGGCCCTGGGCAGAGGGCTCACCCCTCCACTGCCCCCGAGGGATGCCCCCAAGGCGTGCCCCCAAGTCTCCTCCGGGGCTCCCGTTGCCCTCACCTTGATCAATACACCCAAAGCCTCGGCTCCCACCTCTGTGTCCTGGGCCGAGTCCTGTCCTCAAGGTAGCTGAAGTCCTTCCCCGATCCCTTGCCAACGGGACCTTATTTGGAGACTGGATCTTTATACTCCTAACTGAGTAACAGACGAGATGCAGTCAAGTTCAGGGGAAGACATACTTAATGAGGATGGCCCCGAATGAAGGGCTGGTGTCCTTGTAAGGAGGAGGAGATTTGGACACACAAAGGGGAGGTGGCCAGGTGAAGACGAAAGCAGAGACTGAGTGACATCTGCAAGCCAGGGTCACGGAGGAGCACCAACAGCCACCAGCAGTAAGACAGCATGGCCCACCAGACCTCCACTGCAAAATCTGGCCTCCGCACTGGAAGCAACACGCTGATGTTGCTTTGAGTCATTGTGTGTGGCGGTTTGTCACATCAGCTGCTAGAACCCAATTCCGTCTTTCCTCACCAGAGATCCTGGAAGGAGCAGAGTCCACGGGCAGCCTGGAAGGCGGAAGCTGTCTGTTTGCCCAGCATCTTCGTGATGAAACCCGCATCAGTCTCAGGGATAGAGGTGGGAGCCGCACAGGTCACCTGAGAGGGCTGCTCAGAGCAGCTCCAGGACAGCTGCCACTGTGCTCTGCCCGAAGATGAAGGTGCCCAGCAGCACAGAGATCACGCCCCAGGCCTCCAAGCAGCACCTGCCAATTCAACGCACCACGTCAGCGCCCGGCAAAGCCGGCCCTGCACCCACGGGCGAAGCCGGCCTGGAAACGTGCTGCTGAACCCCAGGGAGTCACCGGTTTTGAGAAAATTCTTTTCTCTCCTTTACCTGAGGGGATGTGTTTCTGAGTCAACTTTGGGAAATAAAGTACCCAGGCATTTCCCAAAACCTCCTCTCTCCATCTCTTAGTTCATAATCTTGTTCCTCCCCAATATTTTATCAGAGGGGTGAAGGGCTCTGTTTCAAACTCCCCTCTTCTCATCTACTTAAGCCCCCCAGTGAGGGGTGAGATGAAAGCTGTAAGTCACATCACACACCCACTGGGGGAGGAGCGTGGTGGAGGTGTGGGCTGGGGACTGGCTGCCAGGGCCACAGTCGCAAGCTTCCTAATATAATCAGGCGAGTCAAGGAGGTGGGGCCATGAGAAGACTCCCACCAACAGCAGGTGGCCAGAGATGGCTCTGCCCTGTCAACCGAGGCTAGGAGGACCCAGGGGCCAGGAGGGCCATCTCTGGTGAGCACATGTCAGTGGCACCCACGCACACAGTGGGGTGACGGCAGGTGTGACCCACTCGATGGCTCAGGACGAGAGCAGCTGAGGAGGAAACTCGTCTTGGGAGCTCTCCAGTAAAAACCGTGATGAGCATGGATCATGGGACAGAGCCAAGAGCGAGATTCCCAAGAGCGCACCAGAGACATGCCATTAGGGTGCCAGGTGGCCAGGTCAGCTCTGGGCTCAGGCGGGGAGAAGCCATGCTGAGCCCGCTCTTTGGAGAAGCCGAGCTTGAGTCCAGAGGGGCTGGGGGACAGGGACACAGCCAGGCCACACCTGGCTGTTATGACTTCAGAGTGTCTGAATTGGGCTGAGTGTGACCCCCAAGGCTCACGTCCACCTGGGACCTATGAGTGTGACCTCTTTGGAAACAGGTCTTTGCAGAAGTAATGGCATGAGGATCTGTGAGGAGATGTCCTTCTAAGAGAAGGGCAGTGGGGGACTTGAGACCCAGAGACAGATGGCCACAGGAGGATGGAGGCAGACACGGGTGCAGCAGCTACAAGCCAAGGACACAGCGGCCACCAGCAGCCTGCAGAGTGGGCAGCCTGAGCCCAGGCTGGTCCCCAGGGCTAGGAGAGGGCGCTTTCCTTGCGTTTGGCCTCAGGAGGTGCAAGTGTGCTCTGGTGGCCCTAAAACACCAGCCTCTGTCTTTGCACCTGTGAATGGGAACCAGCCCCACTCTGTCCTGTTGTCTCCTGACCGGCCTCATCCTGATGTGGAGGCTCCCCAGAAGGACGGTGGTGGCGTGTAACAGGCCCAGCGTAGCTGCACCCAGGGCACCAGCAAGACCTGCTGTCTGAGGACACTGCATGTAGCCCTGGGTCCAGCCTGCCACCACAGCTCCCTGACTCCACCAGCAGGCAGCCTGTCCTGCCCTGGGTCTAGCCAATAGCCAGGACCGGGTGGATGTGCATAGGCCGGACACTGCTGGCTGGGCACCCATCTGGCTCAGCTATCCTCTCACCATGGGGTGCCCCCTCCCCAGAGGCCTGTGTTTCTCATGCACAGGAGGAGGGTGGACAGAAGCACTCTCTCTCCTGGTCCATGGGCACACCGAGCCACCCTCCTGGCTTTGAGGACACTCACTTGACTCTTGGTCCTATGGGCTCGACGCCCACGGCACAGATGAGGCACAGACCTGGGAAGAGATGCAGTCAGCACCCAGGTGACCTCAGGGGCCCCTCAAGGACTTTCCCACAGGTGGCCCACAGGCCAGTCCCTCCTGGCTAGGTGGCACATTGTGGGGGCCTGAGGCTCAACTTGGAGTCAGGCAGGTGGGGGTTCCAGCTCAGCACCCCTCCAACACCTCGGCCAGTGGTGACAATGGCCTCTAGAGCCTCAGTCTCTCGGGGACAGTGACAACACCGCCCACAGCAGCGTCAGTGAGGGTATGGCGCAGATGAGGCTGGCACCTGGAGGCGCGCAGCGGCTGGCAGACACGGCTTCTTTTCCCTTTGCCTATGTGTACCTGTTCTAAAGTAGCTCTGGAGGGCCCACGGGATGCCCACCACCGACCTCCAGCCCAATGGGAGGGCTGGGACTCAAGGCACACAGCGCGAGCTAAACCGGAATACGGCGCCCAGATAGGAGCTCAGGGCGCGCGGCTGGGAGAGCTCTTCCCAGGACGGAGGAAGCCCCCTCCACCCGTCCACCCCGAGCTCAACCCACCAGACAGCCTGCTGCTCCCCTCTGCAAGTGTCCTCAGCCTCTGGATACCCAGCTTCTCCCCGGCCCTCCATGTCAACATCTGTCCCCCAAGGCTGTTGGTGACGCCCTCGCTGCCCTTCTACCTGGCCCCAAGTTGAACTTCACTTCCCGTTGGGTCTCTGGAGGTCCACCCAGGGGCACCGGCCTCCCTGTTTGACATGGCAGCCGGACTGCGGCATTGAGGGTGGCTACAGGCTCCCCAATTTTGCCATCTGCTCAATGTGGCTGCTCTCCCAGCAGAACTGCAGGCCTGTGGGCCTCAGCTGTCCCCCCAGGGCTCCTCGGGCCCTGAAGCACGCCCCTGCTGGCCCTGGCTGCGTTCCTTTGGGAAGAACGCCAGGTTGGGACTGGAATGTGTGCCAACACTGGGAGGTCTCTCAGGAAGCCCTCGCCTCGGGAAAGGGAGTGTGCCTCCAGTTCCGGGTGGGACGTCCCTCGTGTCTTTTGTACCCAGAGCTATGTGAGTTTCACTGCAATTAAAAACTTAACCCTCATCCTGCAGTAAGAGGCAGCAGTGGACGAAGCTGTGGTGGGCTCGGCCCTGCCACGCTCCGGCTGAGCCTCCTGGGACTCTGGCCTGGGCCTCCCCATCCGCGGGATCTTGAGCTGCTAAACCAGGGCAGGTGTGAAAAGCCTCAGGCCGCATGCCTGGTGACCAGGGGCCTGCCTGGGGCCCGCAGCCTGCCCACAGGGCTCCCACCTGCCAGAACCTTAAGGCCCCACAGAGCTGGGCCAGCGCGAGGGGAGGGGGGCAAGCCTGGAGGCGGCCACTCACCCGGGAAGATGAAGATGAAGAAGGAGCTGATGCCCCCGATGATGCCAATGATCTCGCTGAGGTCGGGCAGGAACAGGGCCATGGCCAGTGTCACAGCAACCCACAATATGGTCAGCGGCACTCGAACCCATGGCCCCGTGGGGTCAGCTAGCACCAGGGGCCCCCGAGTCCCTCTGTAGCTCCTTGTCCAAAAATCCTGCATCACAGACCTAGAGACCGTGCCGACCAGACACATGGCACCCCAGGGGCCCCAGCCAGTGCTGGGCACTGCCAGTCCCCAAGTCCTCCTCCAGTCCCCCGTTCTGCCCCCAGGTGCTTACTCCCCAGGGGACCCCCAACCCTCAGGGGCTCAGGAACTGTCAGATGGGCTGCCAGCAGAGTGCAGCACGGGGGAAGGTCCAGCGCGTGTGGCTCGGCCCAGTCCTGGTTGGCGCTCACTGCACTGGACAGCTCTGGGTAAACTCCCCAGGCCCTCTGTGCCTGGTTTCCTCCTCTCTCCTCTGAGATAACACAGCCCCACCACAGGCTGAACCCACCCACTAGTTGCCAGCCACCCCCACCCAGCTCACCTCCCCAGGAAGAGCACAATGGGGTAGACCGTCACAATGGAGACGGCGAAGAGGACCCGGGCAACGATGATGGCCACGTCATCGCCCGGGTAGGACATCAGGATGTCAGCAGAAACTCTGGTCCCAAACGTCAAGAAGCCATAAGCCCCTGCAGCAGGAGCACAGCATGCGGCACACTCCAGACAGAGAAAGCCAACCCCCCCCCCTCAACACACAGGGCCCACGGGTTTCCCTGGGAGCTGAGCGAAGGTTCCAGAAGGGCTCCCCATCCCTCCCTTCTCCAAGGCCGTCCTGCTGGTCCTCAGCCTGCGATGCCCCTGGGTTGCACTCCTGCCCAGCCCTGGTGTCTGCTCACAGCTGGTGCCAGTGGCCTGCCCAGAGTGGACGGAGGCTGGAGGCTCAGTGCTTGAAAATCCAACCTGCTCCAGCCCAGCCTGCTCCTTGGACAGCCCTGGGTCAGTGGCCACCCAGAACCACAAGCTAGTTATGGTGGCCTGGGACTCAAGGACAATCCCCTGGCCTCAGTGACCACGGTCACACCTGCCCTAAAGCACACCTCTGGCCAGGAGCTGAGGCCTTCTTGACTTTGCTCAGGGCTCTTTCTGAAGGGGATCTGCCAGCTCTGGGTGTCTGAAGCTGACGACAGCCCTCCGACTCGGGGCTAGACCGACAAGCCCTGCTCTGCTGAGGGCAATGTCCCAGTTTCCTTAGGGTGACTTCAGAAGTCCAAAGTTGCCTGACACGCCTGCTGCAGCCCAAGCCTTTCCAAATCAGAGGCTCCAACAGGTGGATTAAAAAGCCACCAGGCTGGAAAGTGGCCGGCCAGAAGTCATCCCTGCCCCACCTCAGGCCTGGCTCTGTGCTGCAATGTGCCCGTGACCTCAGGCATGTCATGGCCCCTTTCTAAGCCACACATCTGAGGATCCGCTGCAGCAGTGCAGCCCTCATGACACTGTGGGGTGCTCAGAATGGAAACTGTGGAGCCTGCACTAGCTGTGGCTCCCCTTCCTTCTGCCACGCCCTGCCCACCCCTGGGTGCCCCGCAGGGTCCTACCTGTCAGCGAGTAGATGAGGCAGCAGGCCAGCAGGGACAGCACGGAGACCAGGGCCCAGTGGGAGAGGCTCTGGCTGCGCATGCTGCAGTAGATGGAGACGGCGGCTTCGTGACACTGGAGGGCAGAAGTGTGGTCAGCGAGACTCAGGTCAGCAGGCGTCAGGACCACCTGAGCGACTGGGAATACTGCCCAAAGGCGGGGAGCACCCTGTGTGTCCAGCATAATAGACCACGGGAGACTCTCACAGGCAAGACTGCATGGCTCCAAAAAGATGGAGCCCAGCTCTCCACCCGAGCCCCGAAGACTCGCAGGCATGCCACCCTGAACACAGGGCCAGGCGGGAGAGCATGCTGCGGGGTGAAGTTCAGACAAGTCTGCAGCAGGATTCCTGACCTGGGCACTACTGGCTTTGTGGGTGCAGGTAGTCTCTTGGTGGGGGCTGCTCTGTGCACTGAAGGATTGTGTGTAGCACTCCAGCTGTGATCCCCTGGATGCCCCCATTTGTGACAGCCCAAACGTCTCCAGATGTGGCCAAACGTCACTCAGGAGCATCTCTGCTCTAGGTGACAGATGGCAGCACAGTGGTTCAGGTAGAGTGGGTGCCACCGGTGGGAAAAGGCAGCGAGGGGCCTCCCGGAGTTGACAGCGTCACTCAGGAGCAGACTTAAACCTGCATAGTTCATGTGCAATATGTCACCTCTTACAGGATTTGCCACATAAACCGTGCAGGGGATGCAAGAGCCCCCGTGGCTGGGTGTCACACTCGGGCAGACGAGGCACTGGCATGGCAGAGCAGCCAGGGTGGACGGACGCTGCCTCCTCTCACACACTCTGCACTCCAGGCTCCCAGCTCGGGTCCCATCACCTGGTTCCTTGCTCACCACCGCCCCACTGGTCACTCACTGAGCAGGGCCCTCCTGGGCCCCTCTGCAGCTGACCTGCCGCCCAGCCCTACTCATCCTGCTTGGAGCCAGCATCCCCTCTCACACTTGGCCCCAACAAGTGCTCCTTTGGGTCTGGTGTTCAGCAGCCATCAGCTGCATGATCATGTCTGGGGCCACCTTGCCCATCTGGGGCTGCCCAGAGCCTGGCAAGGCTGACAACCATACTATAGTTACCCACTAACTTCCCCACAGCCGCCCTTGTCCCTCCCTGTCCCAGGCTCCGTGTCACTCAGATGCTGGTGTGTGCTGGGCATACAGTGTCAGCAAACCGGCCACAGTGCCCTGTCATGGAGCTCCCCTCTCAGAGGTGGGGGCGGCACACTGGCCTCATGCCTCCAGGCCCCACCTGGATGAGCCCTGGTGTACCTCCCTTGGGGCAGCTGTGTGCCTGCTTTCTCCCTGGGGTCTCCCTGAACCCCAGGAGATGAAGGCCACAGGCTAGCTGAGCCCCAAGCCCGCCCGCCACGGGCAGCAGACTCTGGATGAGGCCCGCAGCTCCTCCATGCTGGGGCGCTCCTGGGACGCACATTTCCCAGAAGGCCAGGAGGCCAGGAGGCCTGGAGTTCCGCCCGGCCATGACCTGAGGGTGCTCCTCCACACATGGTCCCCTGTTCACAGCAGACCCCAGGTGCCCCGCATCCCAGGCTCTGCTTTCAGCTCTGTGTGCAGAGGCACGGTGGGGCCCAACGTGGGGGCAGACCTCAGGGTGCTGGACGCACCAGGAAGCCTCCTTCCCTGTGTTCCTGCGTGGGGCTTCTGTCTGTTGACGGCAGGTGACAAAGAGGGGCCCTCAGGGTGGCTGCTCTGCAGGGCCGTTGGGGTGAGGGGGCTGGTGTGTGCAGGCTCACAGCTGCTCTGTGACAGAGGCCGAGCAGAGGTGGGGACACCAGACACAGAGCCTGTGGCTGGCTGTTGGGTGGGACGCTACTGGGCCATAGCGAGGAAGGGAGCAGACACGCGCCACGTGAAGGAAACGTGTTGCCGAGGGCAAGACGCAGTGCCACGTCACTGGTCCCATGTATATGAAAGGCATATAAGGGGAGACCCAGGGACAGAGCAGGTCAGAGGTCCTCCGCGGGGGCTGGGAGACGGAGGCAGAGTGGCTGCTGACACTTAGGGGGCTCTTTTGGGGCCTGACAAACATGTTCTGAAATTGATGGTGGTGGCAGCTGTAGGTCAACTTGTGCGCTTCAGAAGGGCGGGTCGTACAATAAGTGACCTGCCCCTCAACAAAGAGGTAAAACCAAACCCAGAAGTCCCAGGGAGGCCTGGGCGGCTGGAATCATCCCGGCAGCCCCTCTGTCCCTCAGGCCCCACACCCAGCCTGCACAGGCCATGCGGGAGGGACTGTCCACTGCTGACTGGGCCTGGTGGCGGTTTGAATGAGGTCCCTTCCTGAGGACCACAGGCCCAGCTGCCCCTCCCTGAGCTGCTCAGCCTCCATCATCTCTTCTCTCCCCACCTCTGGCCTAACCCTGCCCCCACTGTCAGGCAGCCAAGCAGCGCGGGTGTCCTTGGAAACGGAGCGGCCTGGTTGCTAGGAGAGCTGGGGCAGCCAAGACAAAGGTGAAGCCAGGGCCAGGCGCCCACCATGTGGCTGGGGCCAGGAGGGGTAGCCAAGCTAGACCCGATCACAGCCAACAGCAAATCCACGCCGCGCATCTCCCAAGATGTTGGGTGTGAGAAAATCGCCTGAGCTGCTGGCTGAACCCCAGCAGCGGCACCGAGTCGTTTATAAAGATGAGAAACAGGAGTGTTTCAGATATTCCAAAAACGCTTCTCAAAAAAAAAAAAAAAAAAAAAAAAAGGCAAGAGGACAGCAGAGCCTGGCCGTGGGACGGGGAGGGCCTGGAGGCTGGACTGCACCAGTCCCCGAGCTGGGTTTTACTCTGCAGAGTCCTGTGGTTGGGGGTGGCATCAGCGGAGGGGAGGTGGTGGTTTTTAGGAGACGGAGGCAAAACTTCCCCAAAGGAAACCACGAAAAAAGGTGGCAGCTGCCAGGAGAGCAGGGAGCCCCAGTTCCACAGAATGGGAGTGGGCCGCCCCTGCTCCACCACCGCCCTCCTGCACCACCGCCCTCCGCCTGCCCAGGCCGGCATGCTGGGGGCTCCGTGTGCTGTGGCCTCCACCTGGCGGACCTCCTCCGCCTGGCTGCGCCCCCATCCTTCCAGAGTCCTTGCCCCCGCCTCTGCTGGGGGCCCACACCAGCTGCCTTCACTCCTTGCCTGCCTCTGCCACTTGGTCCCTCCAAACTGTGAACCTCACGAGACACCATCCTTCTCACCTGGCCCCTGGGACAAACCCACCTGCAGGCCTGGTATCCTGGAGCATAGGAGGGCAGCTCCAGGCCTGCCCACCTGGTGACAGTCTGTCAGCACTCTGCAGAGGGGGACAGGCTCCAGGTCCTCACACTGTACTGCAAACCTAGCACACATGGAGCTGCTGCTGGCGAGGACTAGGTTCCCAAGTTCAATGACAATTCACCACCCACCAGGGAAGCCAGACGCCAACCCACTGACGTAGTCTCTGAAACAGCCTCTGGCCACTGTGGGTGCCGAGAGCCCAGGGCACCCTAGAACAAGTCCTCAGACTTCTCCCCGACAGGAGCAGGGAGCCTCGGAAACGGCCACACTCTGAACTCACCTGAAAACCGAAGCAGATCGTGGGGAAGACACTGAACACAGACGTCCAGGGCGGAGGGCTGTAAGTCACAAGAACAGGCATCTGTTAAGGAAGGAACTCAAACCACTGCAACTCGAGAGGATGGATCTTAAACCATGCCAGAGGCCCCACCTGAGCACAGCTACAAGACGAGTGCCTTCTACATGCAAGGCGAGTGCTCTGCCACTGAGCTACAATCTCAGCCCACAAGATGTGGTTTTTATTTTCTTTTAAATATTTATTTTGTAGTTGTAGTTGTCAGTACCTTTATTTTTTATTTTTATTTTTTATGTGTTGCTGAGGATTGAACCCAGGGCCTTGCACATCTACCGCTGAGCCCCAGCCCCAGCCCACGACAGGCTTCGGAGGATGGAAGGAGGATGGAAGGAGGGCTTGTTAAATGCTACGCTGGACACCACGACACTCGGCAGGTGGGCAGGACGGGGCAAGCCTGCTCTGGAAGCAGCCCCTGCCCTCCCTCTTCAGCTGTCTGCTGCCAGTGCAGTAGAGGGCAGGGGCAGAGGTGGCCTCCACCCCACACTCCAGTAATGCCAGGAGGGTGTGACCTCCTTCCAGGCCTAGGGACAGAGGTGTGCGTGGGCAGAAGCTCCAGGTGGACCCTCTCAGGGCTCCCAGCCTCCTTTCACAAGCACCTCTCCACGCCAGCCTCCAGCCACCCTGGGGACACAGAGCAGAGCGGGCAGCAAATAGTGCCCCCGGCAGACTAAGCATTTCCTGGTAGAATCAGGCCCCAAAGAGGTGCATGTCCCCGTCAGGAACCTGCAGGTGTGGTCCCTTAGGGCAAAAGCAACTTGGCAGATGTGGTTAAGGGCTCCAAGATGGGAGCCCAACATCATCACAGCGTCCTGGAAACCAGAGAACCCTGCCTGGCTATGGAAGGAGGGGACAATGATGACAGAAGGTGGGTCAGAGGTACACGGTGGCTGGCTTTGGAGGAGGAGGAAGGGGCCACAAGCCAGGCGTGTGTAGCAGCAGCTATAGGTCGGCAAAGGCAAGGATTATTGGATTCTCCCCTGGTGTCTCACACTCACACCCTACTTCAGCCCAGTGACACTCTTGTTGACCTTGCCCTTTAGAACTGTGAAGGATGCACTTGTGTCAGCCTAACTCACTCACCACCCCTGGCCAGGTCTTCCTCGCTCCTCCACCACTAACCCCTAGTGCCCAAGCACAGAGGCTGGGTGCAGACCTCGGGCTGGAGGCCTGAAATGCCAACGCCAACCACCCTGCTCCCTCCAGCCTGGCCACTGCCCTCAACGGCAGGCACCCGGGCCTGACAGCGCCTCGACACCTGTCCACACCTCCAGCCGCCTCCAGGGGACCTCCTCCTGGCCCTACCCCTCAGGCAGGACAGTGCCCCCTCCCTCAGGCTGCTCAAGCCAAGAGCTCAGGTTCCCATCCACTCCCTTCTCAACGGCCTCGAATGGACCTGTGACCTGTCGTGGGCTCTGTGGGCCTGCTGCAGGGTGAACACGCTGGGCCCCTCACTCAGCACAATCCAGAGGTTCCAGAGAGCAGAACTGAGCCCAGGCCCCCAGGAGCCACAGGCCATGAGCTGGCCCTGCCATGGGCCAGTCGGACACAGCACATCCAGCATCTGGCCTCGTCTCTCTGGAAGCCCTGTGGTCTGCAGTGTCAGGACACAGTGGACCTCCTGCCTGGTCTCCCCGTTTCTGCCCGACTCTGGAGACGACAAACAACCAGGCGAGCCTTTTTAGGAGAAAATCACGTCACAGACCTGCTATGCTCAGAAGAGTGCTGTTCACGACCCACCCAGTGCAAACCAAAGTCCTGCCACAGCGCCGAGTCCTTAAACACCCCTGCCCCACTTTCTGTCCCGGCTGAGTGGCCCACCAGCTTAGCCTCCTCACGGTCCCCTCTGCCCCAGCAACCTGGCTGCTGGGTTTTGCTGCATCCCCCTGTAGGGACACATCTACCATGGCCAGGAGCCCCAGGCCCCTTGGGATGGCTGCAACCTTTCTAAAGAAGGAAGGGGGCTTTCCTTGGCCTTGTCACGCATAAGGAAAGAGAGAGACCTCACAGGAAGGGCCAGGGCCCTGCAGGAAAGCCCAGGAGTCCCACATGCAGGCTGCCCGGGGGCCTCCCCCTGGAGGCCATGAAGAGCCGTCTGCGCAGACTCACCTCAGGGAAGGACGGGGCTCCTGCACGAGGCCATGGGGCCAGAGGTAGTACTGCACTGTGATGACCAGGGCCAGGTAACAGGAGGCCAGGGTGCCTAGGGTGCTGACACAGACGGGTGGGCGTCAGGGTGCCAACACTGGGCGACAGCCAGTGCAGGGAGGCGCACACTGGCATCCAAATTCCTACCCTCCCTGGCCAGCACGGTCGCATTCTCCTCCTGAGCATGCGTCCCCTCATCTGTACAAAGGGCAGCAGCACTGGCCACTCAGGCCAAGAGGCTGGGCATGTGGAGTTTTGAACGTCACTGGTGTCCTCGGGGATGATAACTTGCCCCTCACAAAGGCCAGTCAGCTGCTCAGACTTGTCACCCAGGTCAGGGTACCAGCAGTCAACTCAGGAAGAGGAGAAGACCGTGGCTCGGCCATATGTGACACAGAAGCTCTGTGGCCTGCCACATCTATTGTTCCAGAGGCAAAAATCTACCTCTGCTCACATGCACTGAGGGAAAGGCCTGTGCAGCCTGGGTGGAGGTGCCCCACGCGCCTTTCTTCAATAGTAAACCCAAGGCCTCAGGGGGAAAAAAAAAATCAAGAAAAAGCTGTGCGTATCTGTGCCTGTGTGTGGCTGTGGGCAGGACAAGTCGGTGACAGTTCAAGAACACAATGTCATGTCACAGCAAGCTTCTTGCCGATTTGTTTCCCACCAGGGGCGAGTGTCGTTTCTACAAGCTTCAATCTCTTCCCTTCTCCCCTCATCCCTCCTAATGCCAGCATTTGCCAAGGAGAGACCCGGCTGGCACGCTGCTCTGCCTGGAAGCGTCTACAGCCCCTGTACCTTGTGTATTTCTGGACGGCGATGTCCCGTGGCAAGGACAGGGGCAGGATGACCAGCATGGAGAGCGTGGGCAGGGTGAAGCGCTGGGTGGCATACCACGGCTGCAGGCCGCCCGGCAGGAGGGAGTCACACACTGCCAGAGATAAGGCACAAGTGAGCCACCGAGCTCGGTGGCTGGCTAGGGTTAGACTGGGACCTGCGGGGGACTTCTGGCCGTGACTCTGGTGGAGAGCTGCTCTACGGCCTAGCTGCAGCACAACAGCAGCCCACACTTGGTGGTCCAGAATCACACGACCCAGGTCGCCAATCAGGAGAGTTAGGGCAGAGTTGAGCCAGCCAGGGCTGCCTCACGTGGGGACCAGGGCATCTTGGAAGGGTGTTGAGCTGATGGTGATTGCTCTGGAGCCTCCTGACAGCCCATCTGCAGGACAGAGCTGTCCCAGAGCCTACCTGACTTGAGGACAAGGTGCTCAGACCTCACCCACTTCCAGGGGAGGGATAACAGAGAAGCTGGGGCTATTGCTATTCTGCCACAGCTAGAGGGCTAACATGGAGCAGATCTGAGGCAGGACAGAGGGGCAGGAGAGGACGTCCGCTGGAGCAGGAGGCAGTGGGGTTCTGCAGCTGGAGCGTGAGGGCAGGTGCTCCGAGCTGGAGATGCTGCGAGGGTGCGGATGCCGGAGCTCACAGGTGGGTCATGGGAAAGAGCAGGTGCTCACCCACCAGCTCCCTAGCCGCCAGGAAACTCCAGTTCAGTGTCAGGGCTATGCCAGATTCTCCTCAGAGGTGCAGTTTCTAGGATATTTCTTGAGGTCTTCAGCACTACTTACAGCGGTCATTTTTACCCAACTCACTGACTCGCCTAAACACCCCAACATCTAATTAGTTCCCCTTCCCAGGAGCTTTGGGCTTGCCAAAGAAAGTCATATCCCCAAATACCTAACCAGAAACATGGGCGGTACTCTCCACCCCAGTCAAGCGGGCAACTCGCATCCTGATCAGCACCACGGTCACGGTGCTCCAACACTGGTCCCTCAGCCCTCAGCACAGCACTAGCCGTTCACCACCAGGAAACTTGAGAGAAGCAAGGCACTCTGTGGCCACTCGCCCACCAGGAGGGTCAAGGAGACCAACTGTGATGCTGTATGACAGTGTTTCCCAAGACATGGTGGCCTTAATTCCAAAATCCCATGGCCAGGGACCTTTTCATACAGGGGTCAAAGGTCAGAGAAAAACAAATGGTAAATGGTAGACTTAAACCCAACCCTATTACTAATTACATTCCAATTAAGTCTAAACAATCCAATTAAATGTCTTGAGATTGTCAAGAAAAATGTAAGAGCGGAACAGATGCTGTCTACAAGAAATGCATTTTAAAATTCCAGGCCACCGTCAAGTTCAAAGTACAAGAAAAGGAACAATGTCTACTGCACACATTCTGATCTGAAGGGAGCCAAGTGGACTATCTACAGCAGAGAAGGTGGACTCACTCAGAGATAAGGCAGAATGTTTCATAACGATAACAGAATGTCCCTAATCACAGAGCTTCAAAAACCAAGAAGCAGAGATTGACAGAATTAAAGGGAGAAATGGACAAATCTGCAATTGCAGCTGAACTATTGAGAAAATAACTAGAACAAAATAAAAAGATGAACAGGACTGCCACAGGAGACCTGCACAGGGCTGCTGCCCACCTGGCCTGACACCCGTTCCTGCACGCTGCACTCAGCAACTGCAGAACACAGCTCCCTACAAGTACACAGAGTGCTACCAAGGCTGACCAAGTGCTAGGCCACAGACCAAGTCCCAACAGATCTCGGAAGACTGACAGCTGGGGTGTGGCTCCGTGAAGAACGCCTGCCTAGCTTGCCTAGCAGTTGGAACCCCAGCACTGCAAAAACAAACAAAAAAGTTGAAATTACCGAGTTCTCTGTCCACAAAATAATGAAGGTAGAGACCAAAACGAGATCTAAAAAACTTCCAAACAAATGGAAATTAAACACAATTCAAACATCCCATAAGTTATAGAATAAATGACAGCAAGAACTAGCAGATATTCAAGATGGTATAAAAATGAGAGCAGAACATATGGACACTGGCAAGGTGCTGCTAAGGCAGTGCTTAGAGGAAAAGTCTTAGCAGGGGACCAGAAAGAGTCCATGTCACTTAGGCATTTCAAAATTGAAGGTATTACTGGGCCTCTTTCAGCAAGGATTTCTTGCAGTTGGCTCCATCTCCCCATCTGTGAAATGGGCTGTGACCACTGGACATCCCATGTAGGCATGGTCTCTCCTGTTCAGCCCAGGACCACTGCTCTACTGCTGATGATCAGTTTGAGTCACCCTGGGCCACTTCAAGGATACTTACACTTCTCCAGCTGGTCTCCAATTACCCTGAAAAAAGCCACGGAGATCATGAGCAGGTTGATGATGAAGCAGGCCTCACACAGTTTCCCGATGGTGGGGCCACAGAGCCCATGGACCACACCCTGGTAGGTGGCCTGGCCGCTGACAGAGGCCGCGTAGCCCAGGATGACCAGCCCACTGATCAGGAAGACCAAGGAGACCTGCAGAGAAAGGCTGTGGGACTATGCATGCTCAGGTCAGCAGCCCCAGGGCCTCCACTGGGCCTCTAAGGAGGCCAGGCTGGGGACTGGCTGTGGAACCTGCAGCCTCCACCAAATGGTCTTCCACTGGGCCTTGTGGAGGCCAGGGCTGGGGGCTGGCTGTGGAGCCTGGAGCCTGGAGCCTCCACCAGATGGGCTTCCACCCCTCCCTACCCTGAGTCAGAGCTGCAGAGCAGGTGGAGCCTGATGGCCACTCTGGCTCTGCAGACCTGGGTTCTGACCCCATCCTGCCCCAGCAGGACAGAAGAGACAACAGGAGTCCAGAGAGTTTAAACTACTCCCCTGGGTCGCCTGGGTGTGGGTGTGTGCGGTTAGGAACCCAAGGAGGAACAGTAGGCCTGGGCCCAGAACCTAACTGTGTGTGGCCTGCTGTGTGGGGCCAGACCATCCGCCCCTGCTGTTTCTTCTGTGAAATGGGTACAGCCTGCCCACCTCAGCAGGCCTGACCATGGCAGGGGACAGGCCTAGCTCAGGGCCCTCTCAGGGAGAGTGCTCCAGAAGTGGTGACCACCCTTCAATGCTCCAATCTCCCTCTATGTCGGCTGAAATATTTTCCCCGCTGTTTACCATGATTTCCAAACATACAGGAGAGTTAGAATGATTTTGCAGTGAGCACCACACCCACTTCCCAGCTTGGGCCAAGAGCAGCTCCTGTTCATGGCTTCAGTCTCCACCCGCTGGCCAGGCCTCTGCAGCTCGCAGCCTCCACTGATGGATGCATCTGAAGCAAGCTGCTGGTATCAGTGTGCTTCCCCGACACGCTGCCCGCAGCTGCGGAGGGCCATGTGTTCCCAGTCCTCCCGTGGAATTTACACAGAATCAAGGGCAGGATCTTCCGTGTCATCAGAGTTGCACAGGAGATGCACGTGGACGCCCACTCCTTTTGGTGCACAGTGTTCCGCAGGCCCTGGAAGGTCCGCAGGCCCCTTCCAGCCAGCTCTGCCTGTCTTTCCCTGGAAGAAACCCCTGACCTCCCCTTCTCCCTGTTCTGTGTCCCTATCTGGCTTCCTCCACTCGGCATAGCTCTGATGACAGTACCCTGTGCTGTGTGTGCTGCTGATCACCATTTTTGCAGAGAATGGTCCACCACGTGCAGGGATGGTACCCCAACCCGCAAACCTGCGACTTCGACTTAGTTTTTGCAGATGTCAGTGATGACAAAGAGTCTTAAAGCATGTTGTTAAGAGCCTCAGGTGAAGTTGCCAGGATCATGCAGCTGGCCCCAATTCCAGTGATGAGCATCCTTCTGGGAGAGAGGAGGGGCCCCAGGAAAAGCAGGAGGTGGAGTCTGCAGTGAGGTGGTCCCGCACAAGCTGCAGGCCCTGGGCCTCCAGGGGCCAGAAGAGCGTGGAGGCAGTGGGCCCCTCTGACACCTTTGACCGACTCTGGCCTCCAGACTGTGGGAAGATGTTCCTGGGGCATTAAACACCCATCTGAGGTGCTCTGTCCGGCAGCTGCGCAGCTCTGCACACCCCAGCACGGTCATGTCTGGCTCCGTGAGGACACACCACATTTCTCTGGGCCAGAGAAGCTCCTGACACCCAGCAGGTGCTCAGTAAAGACCTTCGGGGGTTGAAGGAAGTGAGAGAGGAGCTTCGGCCCACAACCTCCCCCAGGACCAGTGGCCAGGAAGTGATGGCAGGACAGCAAAGTCTGGCAATCTGTCCCAGGTCTGGCCTTCACAACTCCCAAGAGTCTGAGGTTCACCAGTTACACCTCCTTCCACCGCAGCCATCGGAGCCCTCCAGCCTCTGCCCACTGAGCTCCTGGCAGGGGCCTGGGCCTCCTGGGCAGCTCTGGAGGAGAAAGGATGCCCGAAGGTGGCTCCTTCCCAGCAGCAGAGCCAGATTTATGTACGGGGTGCTCAGAACTTTGCCTGTGAACCACCCGGCTGTGACTGACCTCACCAGCCACGGTGGAGAATGTTTTCTGCCCAGGGCCACGAGATGGACTGTGGCCTCCCCCATCAGCCAAGCAGATAGATAGAGGGCAAGACCCAGAGGCCCTGTTCCTAGACAAGCAGCCTGCGGATCCCTCCCAGGAAGCCGAAGCGGCCACGCAGCCACACAGGGCTCCAGAGCACCTCCTGAGACTTACCAGCTCCACCAGGAAGGCGGGCCCCACGCCCCCGGCCTTGTGGAAGGCCCAGGGGAAGCTGAGCAGCCCTGCTCCCAGCGCGGACTTCAGGAGAATGAAGATGGCGCCCACAGAGGACAAGCTGCGGGTGGCAGTGGCAGGCAGGGGCTTTTCTGCAGGAACTCTGCCTCCTTGGGTCTGTCCCTCCATGGCTGGGGACAGCAGAGGGACAGAGGGAAAGGGTAGTCTTTGCCCCCCTTCTTCACAGCTTAAGGTCTCATTCCCAAGACCTCAGATTCCTCCCTCCAGGTCAGGTGGATACAAGCTAACAGCCCAGGTCAACCCCACCCCCGCGGCCCTCTTCCTCGGCCAGGACTGGCCTGTCCGAAGTGCCACACAGGCATTAGCTCCGTGACCTCTGCCCTCACCCCTCCACTTTCTACCCGTTTATTCTCACTTCTGTTCTCTGAACCCGTGGTGATCCTGACCCCCTGTCCTTGGCCCCCTTCAGTCCTCCAACTCCCTCCCCCATCCACCCTCAGCCCACTCCACACCACCAAGCTTCCAACCTTCTGCACCCATGGCACCCCAAGCCCTGGTCCTTACCACAGATACCAACGCTAGGGGCCAGACAGTCCCGGCCACCAGGGACAGGTCTCAGGCTCCCTCCAGCTGCCTCTGCTGCATTGCTTGAGCAGGGAGGGCTGCCGAGCAAGAGCCCACCTCAGCTGGGGATGGGCTGACCGCTGATGACGGAGGGGGCCCCAGAGGGCATGTGGGGTCAGGGCCCAAAGCCCAGGGAGACAGGGACAAGGGGTCAGAGCCACCTTGCCAAGAGTTTGCAGCTTCTGAGACAGCTGACCTCGCCAGGGAGTCTTAAGATACCCCCACAGGCCCCTCCTCGGGGTGGGGCTTCCAAGGGCTCTGAAGGAGCTCAGCTGGCTTCTCCAGGGCCCCGCCCTCAGGTGCCCCTGTGAGGCCCCCAGCCTGAGGGTGGGGTGGAGGTCTCTGAGCAGAGCCTGCCACGGATTGGCAATGTGACTCCTGGCCAGACCCTCATCTGCAGCAGGTGTGCCACGTGGGGTGCCAGGGGCTCCCCCCCCCACTGCTTGCCCTGGGAGCTCCTCCAGCACGGGGCTCCCTCTCACCTGAGGCCTGCCACGGGGCAGACTCCTCACCTCTAACAAGCTTGATGGGGAGGCAGCTGCAGCTGGTTGGAAGGGGACCCCTCTTCAGATGGCAGAAAGGTGGCACTGGCCCCGCTCTGAAAGAGGCACACGAAGTCCGGTCTTGAAATGGAGTCTGTTGGTTCCTGGGAGCCAGCCCCCCTCCCATTCTGACACTCCCGTGTACCCGAGTCCCCGGGGGCAGCCGTGTTCTGGCTGCAGCCCTTCCCCAGGGCTTCTGCCCCAGCGGGTCCGGCTGGGGCCTGGGAACCTGCGTTTCCAATGAGTTCCCAGTGCTACTGAGGCTGCTGGCTGGGGACCTCCTGTGGGAACCGTGGCTGTAAGCTATGTCAATGCCCAGAGCCCCACCCCATCCGGCCAGCCCACACCTGTCAGACACCAGGGGGGCCTCAAAAGGCTTTTTCCTTGTGTGCTCCTAAGGTCCCACCCTCTGATTTGGTTACCTCCTTGAGGCTCACACAGCCGTGCTGAATATATGCTTGACCAGCTGTGACCAGTTTCTCAGCATGCATGCACAGGTGGAAGGAAGCAGGGCTGGAGGTCCAGGAGCTCAGGACTCACACAGCACGTGGGCTGCCACCATGTGTGGGCTGAGGGCCCAGCTTTCGCGAATGTCCCCCTCAAACACTGAGAATGTCACCATGGTCCTGCTGCACACAACAGGGCCTGGGCTCAGGCAAGGGCCGAGAGAGGTGCCCAGCATCTCACCTTGAAGGCTTCAATGCCACACACCTCCCTGCCCCTCTGACTCTGACAGTGCTGGGGACAGGCTGGATGAATGAGTGAGTGAGCACATGGACGAGAGAAGACGAGAAAGGGAGAGTCACTGGGTTCCCCTGACCCTGGCCTCTGCGTTAGGTTTCTGTGGCTGCTGTAACAGAGCACCACAAACCAGGTGGCTTAAAACAACGGGCATTTATTCTCTCGTGGTTCTGGAGACCAGCATCTGAGGTCCAGGTGTGAGCAGGGTGGTGCTCCCTCTGAGGGTTCTAGAGGGCCTCTCCTGCCTCTTCCAGCTTCTGGGCTGTGGGCATTCCCTGGAGGAGGCCGCACTGCTCCCACCTCGGCTCCATCTTCACGGGGGTTCCCTGTGCCAAGGCTCCCAGGAAGGCCCCCGGCCGGGGCCTGGGATCGGGCACTGCTGGGAAAGGCCTTTCCTGCCTTCGACTCCTTGCCCTTTTCACTGGAGTGAGGTCGTTGAACCTTGGGCAATGCTGCTGGGCACAGCAGGGAGGGCAGCAGAACAGCAACGGCCTGGGCCAGAGGAAGAGGCGTGCGGCATTCATGCAGCCTGCCCTGGCCCTGCGAGCAGCCGAGGCTCGCCCTCTGCCCACTCCTGGCCTCCTGAGAGCAAAGATAAAGAGCCCTTCATCAGCGGCTGGGGACTTTGTACTCCTTAATCTGGCTCTGGGGGCTCAGGGGCATTTTCCTGTCCCTGCCGGTGGGTCCCTCATTAGCTGCCCATTAATGTGCATGACTTGGAAATTGGCCACTGGGCTGTGAAATTCCAGGCCGTGGGGAAAACCTCTTAACTCTGAGGGGCTTTGAAATCCACCCTCTGCCGGCATCACAGGGCTGCATGACCTTTCCTGGGCTGTGGAGGGGCGCCCTGTGGGGCCCCATCTGCAGCAGCCGGGTGGTGCCCCCCCAGAGCCCTGCTCCCCGCCCCGCTGGCCCCACACAGCCTCCTCCAGAGCAGAAGGCAGGCAAAGAGATGCGCAAAGGCGGCTCTCCCCAGCACCCACACGCCCTGGCCACCCCTGGATCCTGTCTTCTCCCCACGGAGTGACAGAGGACAGGCCAGGGACTCCCACGGCAAAGTGGCTCTGCTGGGTCCCTCTGCACTCACACCTGTCGGGGATCAGGGAAGCAGAGTGGTGCCAAGCAAGGGTCTCAAGGTTGTGCCAGGCCAGCCGGGTCTTCTGTGGTGGGACCCCAGGGAGCGCAGCAGGCAGAAGACACGCTGCCCATGCCCACAGTGAGGGCTCTGCAGGTGCTAGTAACTGCTGGGCCCTGCTGCCCATGAAGAGGGTTCTTTGTGGCAGATGTCCTGTGTGAGCAGGGCAAAGAAAGGCGCAGAGGAGAGTGTAGGTGGGCAGGATGGCTGAGGGCAGCCAGGACACTCTGCTGAGCCACTGCGGGCATGACATCTCCATGCAGCATTGCACAGATCCCCGCGGTCAGCCTCTGTCTGCTTCTTCATGACACCAGGTCCCTGGGGACACACCAGCACATGGACTCCCAGCATACCTGTGACTGTGGCTGGCTGGGACAGACAACGGGAATCCACACCAGGGGTAAAAGGGACCCCTGGGAGCAGGACTGCTGAGGTGAGGGACTCGCTGCACCCTGCAGGTGCTGGCCAAGCACACAGCCTACAACACTTTGCTCAGGGACTTGAGGCTCCCTCCAAGGCAGCAAGTGGTCAGGCTGAGGCTGGACCCAGGCAGTCTGAGTCCAGAGCCTCTGACAACTTCCCCTGAACGTTCCTCCAAGGTGGAGCCCTGGAATCCCACTATCTTTGGCTCCAGGACAACAAACCTGTTGGCCAGACTCCAAGCCACCTCTCCAGACCCCAGTGACCCTCTTCTGAGAATTGAGCCCTGCTCTATAGGAACTCTCCCCATCAAGGAGCTCTCTCTCCAGGTTCATCTCAGCAGCAACCCTGTTCTGCATTCCTCCCAGGACTGTGTCCCAAGGCCTCTAGCACCCAGACACCTTCCTAGGGTGTCACTGTCCCTTTTAGAGCGAGGATAGACATGGAACACTGAGCAGACACCAGCAGGAGAGAACAGGAAGTAAGCACACAAGTCCTGGAACTGAGCAGGACAAGTTCTCGATCTCCTCTGCTATCTGTCCGGAGTCAGGGTGGCAGTGGGCATCCTTGGGCCTCCTCTCCTCTGCGAATGGGACCAGGCTGCCTGTGACGGTGACCAAGGTGCGTTACCACAGGCACAGAGCTCCAATGGCAGCCCCCGCTGCAGGAGGCAGGGTCCTGCTCCTGGGGCTACTCTCTGTTAACGCAGCGCCCATGGGTCTCAGGCTTCCTGGATGCAAGGCTGCCCTTGCTCAAGGCCGCCATGGTCTGTGGCTGAGGCAGAGCTCCACCTGTCAGAGTGTCCCTGTGCAGGCTCCTTCCTGGAAAACCCCACTCTGTTCCCGACAGCCTCTGCATGCACTCTGGGTATCCATGCTAGTCCCCCTGTCCTCGTTCTATCCCAACTGTCTGACTTAAGCCCAAAGTGTGTGTATACCCTGAGCCCAAGCTAAGTATGTTCCATCATGGGCTGGCGGGGCCACCGCCACTACAGAGGCCCCCGAAGTCCCCTTGGCAAAAGCAGAGTGCAGCAGAAGAACTGCTCACAAGGACAAGAAGCACGACAGATGCCGACCTGGGAAGCCAGACAGGGACCCCTGAATCTGTGGAATGCGGGGATCTGTGCAGTGCTGCATGGCGATGTCATGCCCGCAGTGGCTCAGCAGAGTCCCAGGCAGGAAGAGGGACCCACGCCCAAGGAGGCAGGTGACCCCAGGCCACGCAGCCAGCGTGGAGGCAAGCTCTCCAGCCCAACACCTCTGGTTGGAACATCATCCCACAGGGTTATCACCTAGCAGGTTAGGCTGATGCCACTAAGAACAGAGAGTTTTGGTCACTTCACACAAATAAAACCAACCAACCAAAAAACAAACAAAAAAAAACACCTCACTTTAATTCAATCACTTGCCAACATTAAAAACTGGAAGGTTTCATGTAATCCAGATTTCAGGCTTCTGTCACATCCAGAGCTGCGCTGCCCTTCCCACTGCATCCTGCCTACTCCGAGTGCTAGGGGTGTGCGGGAGCGGGGCAGCCCACACACGGGAGGACTGGTAGGGAGGCCAGAGCGCCACCACTGACAAGCAGGAGCCACTCTTGAGATCCACTGCCAGCTGCTGCCCGTGAGCACGGCTGTGTTCAACACCAACAACCGGGAGGCCACCCGTGTCCAGAAGCCAGCACTTCGGCCCACAGCAATGCCACCAAAATCTGGCAGGCAAGAGTAGCACAAGTGCAAGAGAGCTGCAAGCAACCCCTGCGAGCCGTTGTGCCAGACTCAGGAGAGCCCTGGCCACAGCCCCAGGCCCCCCACCTGTGATGTGCAGATAGGCAGGGGCTAAGCAGTGCCAGGCTGCCTTGGAGCCAGACGTCACCCCAAAACCCACACAACCAATGAGGAAAGTGGAAAAACTGTACCTTAACGAAATCAAAAACACTTATGTGTCGAGGAACACCACCAAGAAGGTTGAAAAGCCAGCCCAACAAGTGAGAGAGAACACCCCAAGTCTGATAAGGAACCTGTCCTGGGAACATATAAAGAACTCAGGTGCATAATCAGAATAAGAAATGGGCCAAGGGGCTGGGGCTCAGCGGTAGAGCACTCGCCTAGCATGTGCGAGGCCCTGGGTGAATCCTCACCACCACATAAAAATAAAGATACTGAGTCTAACTACAACTAAAAAAATTAAATATTAAAAAAAGAAAAAAGAAATGGGCCCAGGCTCTAAACAGACACCTCCCGAGACTCGCAAGCCGACAGCCAGGAGCGAAGGAGCCCCAGGCCTCTCTTCGGGGAAACAAATCCAAACCACCCGAGACGCCCCCTTGCGCCTGCAGCGTGGCGCTGACCAGAGAGGGGGAAACCCCAGTGCTGTGAGGAGGGCCGCTGGAAGGGCAGGAGGGCAGGTGGTGCCAGCGCCTCGGGAACAAGCCTGGCCGCTCCTCGCGAGTTCAGCAGAGCTCGATGGCTTCAGTCCCAGGCATGTGCCCAAGAGAAGAGAAACACGCCCCACCAAAACTGCCCACGAACACTCCCAGCAGCGCCAGAGGGAAACCACCGAGTGCCCATCAGCAGCAGGTAGACGGGCAGACTGACCACTGGGGATGGAGGAGTGTTGAGGCACAAAAGGACAAAGTTTGACACATGACACACAAGAGCCTTG